TCCCTAGTCCCTTGTTCTACGTGATTTTACAAGCGCGCGTAGTATTCCGCCGAGCCCTAGTGACGTAGGCAATTGAATGGTCTTCGATCTTTGTTCGCTTACACAACATTGGCCCCCTCCGTACCTCGAAACTTAGTACGAAAAAATTATTAAGCGGCTAGTGACGTAAATTCGCCGCCCTAATGGTAATATCGTGACGTACTATTGAAACAATGATATTTTAATAAAGATGACGCATGTCCATACTGCGTCGCATTAAAATTTGTTCCGCTTTACATTACGTGACATACTTATATAGGTGATACATACATATATATATATATATATATAAGTGAATGTGACATATGATTTAGAACTCATGATACGGAAAGAGATAGCAGTCTATGGAATTGCAATCTAATTACACCAACTGGCGTAATTTGAGTGCCTCTGTTTGGCTGCCATAGTGTCATATCTACCTCGTATTCGTATATCTTTACGATGAGCAAACGATCTTATCAAAGTCGAAAAATATTTATCCAACTAGCTGTTATGCGCGGCTTCACTCGCGTGGCCAGAGGCAATTAACAATGGGCTTTTGATTATACACTACTACTTATTTGACACTTATTTTTTACAATTCACACAAAGTCTCTATATGTATATTATTCTGATGAAACTTTACAATAATGTAGCTTATAGCTATATTATTGTAGAGTTTAATTAAAATCTATTAAGTAGTTTTTGTGTGAAAGAGTAACAAACATCCAATCCATACATACAAACTTCGCCTGTATAATATTATATTATATACATTAATATTAATATTATAGTAAGGAGTAAGGAAGTAAGGTAATGTAAAGATTTAGGCAAAATGTTGTCCATGAGACTGATACTTTTGTGATGACGTAAATGTATTTTTTTTTGTTTTAGACCAAATATCGTAAATAAATAAAAAAATTGTATAAAACAGTTCAATTTTATTCTAGTAAATAAATTTTACACATAATATTAAATAATATAATGTAATCAGAACTAAAGTGTCCTTCTGGCCACAATGTTCTCGAAGTCATTTACCTCGAGCAATATATTAATATTTGTATAATAATAATATTTTATTGGTTCAGGAATTCCGAACTAAAAATATGAATGAAAAAATATTAAAGCTAATTCTTAACCCAAGTGCCGGATTAAGCAAGCGCGGGGTAGCAAATTCTTTCAAACAGCCCTTGAGCAGAAACTCATAGCAGAGTTCTTAAGTATGAAGTGGTAAAAAAGAATTCAATTCTCCTATTTACTTTATTAAGTAAGTTTCGCTCAAAATGTGGCGTTCAGATAGAGAAGACTGGGTTTAAATATGCGGGGCCCCTTTTCGCTCGGGCCCGTAGCTTAATCCGTAATACGGCACTGAACTGAACCACGTGTATATTTGAAATTTTATTGTTTGAACAGAAAACTAAAAAAGAGTCGGTATTTTAACATTATGAACTGTACCAATTAAATTATTTCATATACTTGCACAATAGTTTAAAGTGACTGTATTGTGCCGTCACTTTTCTCCGTAATGGGCTGACACATCTGATCTGACATAGTCATTCAGCGTCCTAATACTATGGACGAAGTTTATAGCTTGTTAATTAATAAAATTAGTTAAGCAATATTAAAAAGATAATTAGGAAGGACAAACCATTTATATACATTTCAATGAAGCCAAGGGACACTTTGTTATGGAAAAATAATTTAAAGTGTCACAGTTAGTAGCTAACATTTTTCATTCACAAAAATCATTGAAAATATGTATTTTTATGATCTTTAACTATTTTTATAAACTTTTCCTGTTTTAGCTTAAAAGTAAAAAAATCCTTCATGAAACACTTGACTGTGAAAAAAGCAAACAATCTTGAGGACTGACTAACTTGTCATGTGTTTGAAGGTCATGAAAAATTAAAAACTCATCCATTTGCGCAACATTATACATATACTGTAAAATATTGTGCAACTAAATTTTCATTAAATGATATGAAACATGACTATAATGGCAGTTTAGCGTCAGACACCCCAACGGCTGATTCGATTTTGTCTAAAAAACTTCAGCACTGCTCCTCCATTTTAATTGGTAAGTCAAAGTAAAACGCTATGTCTTAAATTTTAAATCGATTTCCTTTTCTGTAATCAATACTTAAATATTGTTTTATTAGTGTAATAACACTCGTATAGTTCGTAAGATTCCCGTAAATGTCATCAAATTAATGTAATTTTTACATTTATATATATATATATATATATATATATATATATATATATATATATATATGTATGTATACGTTACGACCGTTACGACCTGGGAACCTTCAAGAAGAGAGCGTACTCTTCCCTAAAAGGCCGGCAACGCATTTGTAAGCCCTCGGGTGTTGCAGGTGTCCATGGGCGGCGGTGATCACTTACCATCAGGTGAGCCTCCTGCTCGTTTGCTGCTTTTTTCCCATAAAAAAAAATATATATATAAAAGATGGCAACGCAACTGCAGTTGCAGATCTTTTAATTAAGTGGGCCCCGGCAACCTCATTCCCCATAGGAAATGGGGAAGTATCACACTTCTACTTCACTCCGGTCTTCTGTGAGGTCGTGGTACTTACCGGACGGACCAGCTCATTCGTGTTACAGCGAATATCTTTATATATATAATTATTCTGTCATGTCGTCTGTATGTCACTGAACCTCTCCTAAACGGCTGGACCAATTTTAAAGAATTTTTTGTGTGTTCAGGTCGATTCTAGAATGGTTTAGATTAAAAATTTTTTTTCGAATTTAAGTCGTATGTACAGGACAACTTCTTGAACTAAAAGTTACTAAGAGTTATATTTGATATGGTTCGCCGTCATTCGTTCAATCATCATTCATTTAGTTGTAATTATTTCCAAGTGCAATTAAGAAAATGGTGTAATTAATATTTTTTCACAATATTTCACGTTAAATACGCGTTTGCCATAATGCGCGAAGAAATTAGGTTTGCAAACATTTTTGCAATTCATTGCAAAATATTGTGCCTCCATATTACCATTAAGCAAATTCGCTTAACAATATTTTATTTTGAATACAATTAATGGGGAGATATATTATAAACATTTGTCAATCGTAATATACGTATGCCAGATAATAAGTAAACTCAAAACATACATGTATATTTGGCATAATGATATCAAAAAAGATTTAATATAACTATTATATACTTCGTCCAATGAGTCTTAAATTCCTTTATTCTAGGATTCTCAAGGCTAGCATAGTGGGAATTAGTTAAACCATGGTTTATGGCCGCATTAATTTCATTTATAAGTCTTAAGCTTAAGGTATATCAGCGTATTTCAGATTTTCATACAATAAAAAATTATAATTAGTAAATTTTTCTACTTTATTTGGATTTCACCACTTTTTTCTTTTATTCATTTCATTTAAATATTTAGAATGTAAAGAATTTTTATATAACTTGTGTAAGTAATTTTGATAAAAAGTAAATAACCGAGATTTATACACAAATAAATATTAGGAAATTTCTGGAATCAGTATTCGCAGTATAATACTTTCGCGTTTCGTCTGGTGAGGGAGGTAGCCGGAGCCCAATTTTCAAAAGGTGCGCATCTGCAACCCTCGGGTGTAGCGGATGTCTATGGGCGGCGGTATCCACTTAACATCAGGTGAACCGTCTGCTCGCTTGGCAACTTTTCACATAAAAAAAATGTAGAAATCAAACTACTTCAGTTCTGTGCACTGTGCAAGAATACTTAGAAGCAACGAAAATCTTACGGTACAAGTAGTTTCCAATATGGATCGCTAATCACTTGAAACATTTCACTGCCCCAACCTATTAACATTTATATGCTTGAAATATATATTTAGCTTTTTTTAAATAAAAATATTTTTTTAATGCATAATGCATCATTACTGCATAAGCTCTCCAGTTATAAGCAATTGTTTATCTAGTGACAAAGATTTTCATAATACCCTTACTCTAAAAAAAGTTAAGGTTAATCTGAATAAAGATTATCCTTCACTGAAGAAGCGTTGACACACTCAAATTATACGTTATCGTATAACCTGATACAGAATAATTATCTGTGGGGTACACTTGTTCTACCCCTGTGAGAATTGAACTCGCAAACGCCAAGACCTAGCTCGATTGAATAGCGGTTTGGCTACCGACGATCATTCTGGTGAAACGCATACATAAAAATCATGACACATTTAATGCTATATTATAAAATAACATTGAGGTTAATGATAAAAAATTTATTCATTTAAAATCATTCAATAATATTAAATATAGTTTAGTGATTTATTAGAACAGGGGTATCAATTTTATCCAAACCACCGATCACGAAATCTGCCAAATAATATGTCGTTTTAATGTCCAGCAATTGAAAAAGTACTTGTTTGTTACTTTTACTAATGAAAATAACCGAACAAAGAGATATATATTGTGAAACTTTGCGAATTATCGACCATGATAACCTATACGTATACGCCCTTCGTAAGTCTTCAGGGTTAATTTTAATGGTAATATTTATCGTCATTCCTTATTTATATAAATCTTATATTACATAACAAATTTTAATATTACCATTTTTATTTATTATATTAGATCAAATAATAAAAAAATATATATGGGAATACGCATATTCATATAAAAAGAATACTATGCGTTATTCAAAAGTAAAATAGTAATTTTAAAATTGTTTCTAATAGCAAACATCAGTTTAAAACTTCAAATCTTTTTAAAACGAAAACAGTGTAAAACTCTCGACATAAAGATTTTCACAACGTATTACATTTTCGTTAAATGCAATTACTTATTTGTGTTGTTAAATTTATTGTTGTGAAAAATATTGAAACAACACATTTGACATCATTGCATTGCCAAACGTAAATGAATGGTCTATTGCTGTCTTTTTCCAATGAGCAGTAAATACGTATGATAGAAAGAGATAGCTGGTGTGCCTAGGTGTCGGCTTTAAACCGCATGGCGTATGCTCGCGTACTACGCAAGCCGACGGTGTGTCGACATTGGACGTTGGATCGGTTGCCGGCCCGAGGCTTCGTCCGAGTCCTCCGAATGCCCGCGTCAGCTCGTCACGCCAGCGCTACCTACTCTACTCTCTGTTACTCAGTCTCGCAATGGCGTTAGTCGGAGTCGGTTGTGTGTTCGTTTAGTTTTACAGTAACCCGAGCGGACACCGGCCCAAAATATTGGCCTGTCTAAACTTGCTCGAATTACAACGGTGTATAATCCAGTAATTCCACAAGCATAAAAGCGATTTTCGCCGCCACGGACAGTCAAATTTTGGTACGATATCCACTCAGGACTATTCATTTCAAGGTTCGTACTATATTTGTAGGTATTTTACAATTTCCCCTAGTAGTTTGATACGTCACTAATTTTCTGATTGCAACGTGTTGAAATGAAATAGTTTCGTGAATTATTAATTAACAGACGTGCGTTTTGTTGCAGATCATGTTCATCTCATCATAGTTCCTCTTCGTTTTAAGTGTTTGTGCGTGTTTTGTGAACGTTAGTGTATCGTGACTGTGACAGTGTTTGTGTTGTGATGGATCCGGGATCCCCTTCGTTGCTGTGGCCGCTGCGCTTGAGCAAACCTGCGGCGACGGTGGCTGTTAGTTCGAATGGGGAGCATAGCAAAGCGGAAGATAGGCCGCAATCGCCGACGCTCGTCGACCGGTTGTCAGCGGCACCTTCGCCCTCAAGTCCAGCACCCAGCAATCCAGCGCCTCCCCAGCACCAGTTCCAAGCGGCGCTCGTGGCTGAAAAATACCTTTTGTTGGAACAAGTCGAGGGCTCTTCGCTTTGTCGATGTGTGGACGTGCGCACGCAGGAAGAATATGTTTGCAAAGTAAGTTTATACGCCCCCGTCATAAGTTCATTAATCGTGCTAGTACACTTCACACTCGCTGTTTCTTCTCGTGAACGAATCTCAAACGCTTAATATAATTTCCTAAAGCTTACTATAAATTCTAAAACAACACTATCAACCAAAAGTTTTGAAAGAAATATTTACATGATTTGTTTGAACAGTGTGTCAGAATCTTGCGAGATTTAAAAGGTCCTTCAGAGGCTTTCGGGCATTGTCAAAAAGAGCGATCTATCATTACACGGCACTCGCGACTCGACTGGGATACGTACGTAACGTCGCGTGTTGAAATTGTGCCGGGTTTCAACAGCAAGTTGCGTAGCTTTGTTTGATTGATACAGTGTGTAATCTCTTGTCTTCACTCGACCTCTGGTCCAATTTGTAAGTAGTCAATTAGCGACACTGAGTAATTTCCTCTCCGCTAGTATTGGGATATCGACCATAAATTTAGCTTTGTTTAATAACTTTTACTGAGTTTCCCAACCAACACCGTGACCTAGTGATATGTTACTATAAAAAACAATGGTAGGCACCAAAATCCATTGTAAAATAAATCGTCTTAAAAAAAATCTTGAACATTCAGATAGCATTTCGATTGATATGCACAGTCTACTTAAATTGACACTATAATGATAGTTAATTAAACTTGTAGCATTAGTTCAGTTGACACTAACTTAAACATCCGGTAGATCGGGAAGGGTTCGTTTTATCCCACGGGATTGAGACCCCATGGAGAGATAAGCCCAGTTGTGTATAATGAGCCCACATAGTGTGGCGCTTTCGTTGCGAATTAATCATTCGTTCTAATAAAATAAAAATACAATTTATGTTACCGACGACGTTACGTTGACTATCGTGGGAATTACGTCTACCCGGAATAGCTATTAAACAGTTTAATCAGAGATAAAAGTTGACGCATCGCGTGCTTTTTATTTACGTTACCCGCCATTCTTATGAAATAAAACAGTTGTGCGCTGCGCTGACGTGTACACGTCGCCGACGATGAGGTAGACTTAATAATGAAAATAATTAAAGTATGCCTCTTTTCGCGAGAATTCGCGTGTATTGTTCACAGCGTTTGCGCTTAACATCGATGTCATACTTTATATGTCATGGCCCCGCGCTGCTCGATCGCACTTGTAGGCCACCGAGCCATCGCCGTTTTTACAATGTCATGTATCGGGCTTTCGCAATCTGCTAACGAACAATAACTATTATAATACCGTTAATAACGCTTTGAAAACCGCGAAGTAGGTAATTAAGTCGGCGGGAGTTTTAGTTCTTGTTTTTTTTTTTAATTCATAATTTTTCAATCGTGTATACGAACACATTCTGAGGCTGCTCTGAAGAAGATTAATAGAAAATTAACAAGACGCGAAATGAGCACATGAAATAAGCTTAAAATTGTGTTAACAGTGGCCCGACGCAGAAACTAGTTGTGAAACGGGTTATTTCAAACATCCTCCACGGGGGCCGGGTAGGCGACGATTTTAGGCAACACAGGATATATAGAGCCAGTGCTAACAAAGACACATACAGGTATTGTCAAGGCGCAGAATAGGCACTTCCCCCGTGAGAACTTGGCAAGGTTAAGTGTGGCAACGTTATCGTTGCTAAACGCCCGAGTGTATTTACAACACCGCCTGTTGCCGACACGCCGGCTACATTTGTACCGCCTTAAGCCATATGCGATACTGGCCTGCGCAATTTGTTTCTTTTTCTGTGTCTATCGCTGCATTCTTTTTTCGATCCTAGAAGAATTAATCTGTCGCACATTAATTGAATACCGAATTGATCGGCACACGTGGACGCCTCGAGCACCGCCGAAAATAAGCGGTGACCTTCTCATTGACATTGTGAAATAGACTTGATAACGCACCGATCGCCGAATGTCACAGCGAGGCTAGCGGGCCCCCTCCTAACGTCCCCCTCTACTAGCTCACTGAGCGCGCACGTAATAGTTGTTGCTGCTCCATTGCCGCTCCGAGATCATTACGTACACTAAAGTGGTAAACTCGGCAGGAGATGTAACGTAAACTTGTAACGAGGCTTTAAAATACCGTAATGAATCTACAAACAATCTAAACGCTTGTACGGTACTTATCTAGGATTGTGGCATTGCTCAAAGAACGGTGCCCGCGTAGTCTTGCGATGACAATATTGTAAGTACATTGTTATCGGCGATCGCGCACACAAATTAACCTTTTGGTTCTTACGCCCGTTGTGTTGTACATACATCACAGTAAACATTTGAATTTCAAGAGACATGGTTCCTTCCATATTACGACGTTCGAATTTTAAATGATTTTTCGTAAACAGATTCGATATCTACATTTTTGAGCCTGGAAATTTTAGGCAGTTGATTTTTCACGAGCGGTAACACGCATTGCAACAAGGCGATTAAATAAATATTGATAAGAGTATGTAGGTTAGTTGCCGTAAACCGCATTTGCGGCCAAATATTATCGAGTGCCGCGCAAACGTTGCGAATTCTTATCGTTCTCGATTTTTACGCAAACACTCCTACAAATGGGTCACGTTGTATTTTCGTAAGGCACCCGGAGCAAAGAATACATGCATGTAATAAATTCCGCGTCGATAAGTCTGCGAAGGCCTACGTAGAAATAACCCGAGACTGTTATTTATACGTTGATCGTGTTAAAAAAGAAATGTGACGAAGCACGCGGCGTGATTCATCATTTGTGACTCGGAGGATCTCATTTGAAATTTGCGCCCGTAATGTCGTTGACACTTCGCGCCGGTTCGAAAATAAAATGATCCCAAAAGGGGCAACCCAATTTTCATTTAAAAAAAGAACTTTATATTTTCATTGTTTAAAGTTGAAAAAGTAATTCGAATTTAGAACAGAAAATAATTTCATATTCGTTAAAGTTATCAGACACAAAAATATTTTTAGGGGTAACTTGTAAGTAACATTACATTATGTAGCAATAAAAACCTAGACAGTAAATACACGATTTTATTTATTCCTTCGTATTAGACCGTTTGAATTGTCCATTTTGTTTTGTGTATCTTATTCCAAATATAAAGCCATGAAGTTCCAGCCCTTTTAAAGCCAGCCGCTTTGAAATACTCCCCTTTTGATCCTTTGAAATAGGATCAATCGAAGTCTACCAGGATCGTTCACCAATAGCTTCCCTTGTTAGAATGTATACCTTTCAACCGTTCCTACGAAATAAACGGCTTAGTCATTGTCACTGTATTCAGTGTGTAAAATTATTGCAAAAAGACGCCAAAAATTCTAACATTCCAAGGGTTTATTGCTGATTAGTGTGTATATCATAGTGTTTTACATTTTTTTATATATTATAAAGCAGCCGTGATTTGGCTGGAGGATTTGTTGCTGGCCGATCTGAATTAAAAATAAATTATTTTTAGCCTGTGCCGTTTTAGACTATGTGATGCTCTCGTTTAGGTGGTGTCTCGCGACTGCAGCAGCCTGCTACAGGCGCACTACCGGCTCGACGGCCACCCGCACGTGAACCCCATCCACGAGGTGCTGGTGGGCGACAAGAGGGTGTACCTCGTCTTCCCCCGCTCGCACTCCGACCTCCACTCGTACGTGAGGGCGAGGAAACGGCTCCGGGAGCACGAGGCGCGGAGGCTGTTCAGGCAGATGGCGGAGACCGTCGCCGCGTGCCACGAGCAGGGAATAGTATTGAGGGACCTCAAGCTGAGGAAGTTCGTGTTCGCCGACCCGCAGAGGTGAGTCCTTCCCGCCAAAATGTATCGCCGTTTTACAAAACTGCCGCTGCCGCGTGCGCAGTTTCGAGATAGCATGAGCACAGATAACATGCGCGGCCCTAACCACAGCGGAAGGCCCAAACCTGTGGGTTCTGCCTAGCCCACCGGTTCTGCGTCAGATGAAGCTTTAATATGCTCGGAACTGAAAGCGAAAACATCAGTTATTACAAGACAAGTTTCGAGAGCGTCGGCGTATGAAACGTAACGCGGCTGATAGGCTTCGTCCTAAATGTTGCCAGCGAAACTGCTGACGCAACGCTCCTGCAGCGATATCTCCCGGTGCTCGCAACGCGCCTAGCCTCGGCCCGAGATCTATGCCTCGGTTAAGTAACTGACGGGGGGAAACGGAATTGCGCGATTTTAGATTGCAGACGCACGCTCGCCGCGCGCACAGCGTTTACACCGGTGTAGCCGAACGAACCGCTTACGTAATCGTCGATGGACGAAAACTGTCGCGCCCTAGCTTGTTACGGCCTCGCCCACGCGGATGCGCCGTGAGAAGCGACATTAAGGGCCCGTAAAACTTCGGAAGGCCGACGGAAACGTGTCGTGTCTCAAGTAGCGCTTCATTTCCTTTGTTCCACCGATAGCGCCGCGTGCGACCGCGATAAAGTTATCGGTGAATACATTATTCCAATTCACATGCGCCGATAAACGCACGGTAGACGTTAGCGACTGCTCGAGAGTACCTAATAATGAAATAAAATGACACTAACACTTTTAAAAGTTAATACTTTTTTTTATTTTTAAAATTAATACTTTTAAAATAACTTTCAAATAATTTTCCAAATACAGTACAACACTGGCTGTATCTGAATAAAGGTACATATATGCACAAACAGTATATACGCACGAATAGGATACTTATTCGTAATAAAATAAAGGAGGCATACGAACATAACGCACATTTATGCAAACAAATAACGTTTGCAAGTACAATAACGCACAGCACTCGTGCGGTAGAAGAGCGTAAGTACATCCATGCACAAAACGTACATTGATACGTAGGAATAACGTTTCAAGTACAGCAACGCACAAAACTGTAATAGGACAATCGCGCGCGATTGCCCAACGCTCATTAATTACGGCGCGGCCGGTAGGAACCGGCGGATTTTCGAACTTTTGAAACGTTATCTGGCCTCCATTGTTGCGAATATCTCCGGCAATGCTAGCGGCTCAAGGCGAGCGGTGTCATTGCTGCGCTGTAGCGCAATGGGGTCATGGGTCTCTCGCGCCCGCGACCCAACACCCCAATCTCAATTATACGGGTACCTGCCCCCATCCCGTCAGGTGATCCTGCCCCGTACAATGAAAGTTATTAACTCGTACGCATTCTAATAGCTTAACGATAAAATCCACGTTTTTTTTATTCCATCGTTCACCTGTCCCGCATACCAACCCTTTTTCGATTGTTTATTCGTTGTTTTTTTTTTTCCTATTCCTCTCTTTCAATAATTACGTGTATTGTGCTACTGCGTACAAAAAAAAAACGAAAAAATTCCGGCCTCGTGTTTATCTTTACGACTCCGTATGATTCAGGCGTCCTTTTCGACCGACGTACCAAACGCGTTGCACTCCGGGACCGTGTGCTTTGATTACGTACGCCCACCGGGGTCAAAATCCGACCTTAATGGTACACTCGACCCGTCGAGGTCGAATATCGGACGCGGCCCGCTCGCCCCTTGAATGTCGAAAAGCGACAAGAGAAAGTAGGCAGAAAGTCGCGCGGATCGAGGGAGTATAAAACCGCCGTGTATTTGCGAAGCGGCATCGGCTCCGTCCGCTTTGAGTGGACGGAGGAGGGGGGAGGGGGAGGTAAGATTTAATACCCCTCAGTGGCGCATCGTCAAAGCGCGCGTCGTCAAAAGCTGCCCCGTCGTCGGCGGTCGCGGTGCAAACGCAAAAACTTCGCCCACCCCTTTACGTAATAGCTCTCGGTAGAAGACGCACCGCCGGGACTCGAGGAGCCTTTTAAGTTACATCTCAAAGGCCGGAATGTTTCGCTTATTACGGACTTAGCGGAGACGCGGCGAACTTCTTACTTTGCCTTTATTTATGACTGGCTCGTACCCTCCGACTGCGCACGGGTTGGATTAATTTGCACATTACGTATTTTTATAATAAAAAGCAGGCATTAGTACCTGCTTTTGAAGGAATCCATTAAACAGGTACTGAGTTTAATTAATTTATCGCCTTTTTATTCAGGTATAATGTTGCTTGCATGAGAGAAGTTTTATTCAAAAATCGGCACCATCATTTCAGAGAGGCTAAAAATTTTAACTTTATCTAGAACGGCGCTCGAATGCATTATTCCGATATCCGCGCATTTTCGCACACGCGTCGTTTTACACGAAAACCGTGTCAAGTACGAAACGGTCGAAATCTAACCGAACTAGCGGATTTGACGAACGATACGAAACCTCGGGCGCTTGTTTGAACGATGACTGTTTACGAAGACGCCTCTGGGAGCGAAAAGGGCGCATTTTGACGACGGTCATTAGCGTTTCGGCGAAGCCAGGTAGCCGGCGTCGTCCGCCAACTTTCCCACAGACCCTCGCCGCGAACGCAGCTGACCCGTACGTCTAATTTATTCTAATGATTATGCATCGAGTGGACAGCTGTTCTCAATCGTGAGAAGGTGCGACAAGTGCCCCCGCCCTAATGTCAAGACACCCTCGATTACGAATTCGGCTAGACGGCGCGAAACTCCGTCTCAAAGGTAAACAAGAGCATTAATATTGATCCCGCGTTCCCTTTGACACCGACGGAGGACTTTCTTAGCGGTAGTTTACTGGAGGGAGGACGAGTTTGATTTACTTTCGAGTCTCGCGACGCGATATGAAAGTTTCATCGGCCTGATTGAAGTTCTGCGGCTTATCTAACGAATAACACATTCGCAATCGACGTTTGAAATGCTTCACATGTCCGATACAAATTGTCAGACGTTCGTGTATCGAAATTGTTTATGTATATTTTTTTCACCTTGCTACATGAAAAATATATTTGACGGCGAGGTAAATAAGCAAGTAATTTGTCGAAAAGGTTAAAAAACTTAACGCATCGAAACGTTTTTGGTTAGCATATCTATCTTTGCAACCGAGACACTTCGGGAAGGAAGCTGTCGATTGGTACGCTGGGCGCAGGTAGCCGCGGACCCGAGATAATCACACATCAAACACACTGCCGTTGTTCCACACATACGTTGTTCGACACTCGTTCCCGGAAGATCCGTTTAACGCAGCAAACGATACACTGGGCCACTTTCGCCCGAACGCCGGATGTTTCCTTACGCGCCGCCTTTGTCCGACCTGGATATTGTATCCGACGGGATGTCTGCGGACGGAAACGCACGTGACAGCGGCCGCCGTTGTCGCTCCGCGTCACCGAATACAGCGAGTTACTTACGTTGACGAGCCCGCGATAGCTTAGGGATGTTGTAAATAAAGCAGGTAAAAAGCGGTCGCCCGTATTAGATCCCGCCTACGCTAAAGCGATTGTTCAGATACAGTTCCAGGTAATTCGAGACGCTTAAAGCTAGAAGTTTATCAACCGACTTCGAAAAACGGAGGCTCTCAATTCTTCTGTGACATACAAATCGCAGTTCAGTTGTATTTTTCTTTGTATTTGATCTCTCGGAGCTCCGTAATTGGGTTGGGTTCAGCTTCCATGTGGTCCGATATTAATTTCGTTGGCATTGGACCTTGAACTCCGGTCGTACATCGGGGCCCCAAAATCAAATAGAAAATGTAGAGCGAATGAATTATTTGAAGTCGGGTTTTATTTTTTGTTAATTAAAATATACCTGTATGGTCTTTAAACACAGCTGCCATGTGATAGGTGACCGACAACAGTAAATACAATTAATACTTGATAGTTCAATCGCCAATGAGATCGACATAGGATATCATATGTACATACACACAGAGCGGCGTTCACCACCCCAAACTGTTGAAAATAATCCGTTCGTCGGAGATGATCTTTATCGCTTTCTCTACACAAAGATGCTCGACTGCTATTTGCATCGTCTAGATTCTGTGAGAGGATGTAGTTAATCTTGAAAACTTTACAGTCCCCACGGCCGGGGAGCAGACGTAAATGAATGGAGGAGATAAACGTGTGCGTCTGTAAAGGTCGATTTGGCGCGAAAGCGTTCGCGAGCGCGCGGCGCTAACGGTTGGGGATATTTATGGGACGCCGCCGGCGGATGTGCCAAATCGGCAGACGCCGTCGCATACCGGCCCGTTTGCACAGACGTCGCGCATTGCTCGCGTGCGAAAAATCACCACTGCAGCACTGAACCGGTCTACCGCCAATCAGGGTGACTGCACACGATGGTGCGAGCGCCAAGGCGTCCTACAAGATTGCCTAAAGCCACGTCGCGTCGGCGGGCCGTTTTCAAAACGTTTTGAAAGCCGCTTGCCAAAGGCGGCGTGGTGCAAGCGGGTGCCTCCGCCTCCCATTTGCATAACGCCGGCTCGGTAATCCGCCCGTGCTCGGTTTGACAGTTGTATAACCTGGCCGAGTTGTCGCGGCTGCGGTGTCGCAACTCGTGGGGGTGCGAGAGCGTCGCGTTTCCCCGTGGTTCTCAGCGGCCGGGCGTGCCGGAATCGCGGCGGTTGGCGGCGGCGCGGCGGCGTCCTCGCGCGGGCCGCCGCCGAGGTCGCGCAAGTGTGCCAATGTCGCTCGCGCCCGTGCGGAACCGACGCCCCGCGCCGCTATATATAGGCGCCGTTGAGCCTTCGCATCCAATCGAACACACCCGGAACGCTTCCGTCCACGCCGACTCCCCCGTTCTGTAAATAAGCGGACCCGAGCCGGTCATCGCTATTAACGAGGCGTTCGCACCATTTTCGGGCGCACCGGACGCGGGCATTAGTGCAACGCTCCCCGGGGCGCGCACCGGACACCGGTGTCATCGTAAAACAAATCCGGTCCGCGCAAAAACGCCGGCGCGGTGTTGGAACGCTATGGGCGGTTTTTGCTCGGCACGGTGCGCGGTTTTTGCCCGCCCGCCACGTGCTCCCATCGCGAGGCTACCGCCGTGTATCGCCGCCGAGAACGGCTGCTAAATCGATCGCGTTGCAAAACAAAGGTCCGCGCTGACTTGTGCAAGCGGCGCGCCCGCGCAGCGCCGACATATCTGCGCATTTGCGTAACCGCGCACTCCGCTTATCCGACACGAAGCCAGTGCGTTGTGACACGCGCCGTGCGCCACCGACATCTGTTCCATTCGGCGCCCAATCGTGAAGCCCAATTCGCCGCGAAATTGTAGTAATCCGATTGCGTTGCGATGAATGATTTAGGAGCGAGCGTTCGAAACGGTGCAATTGCCCTGTCGTCGCCTACAGTGATTTGTTGGAAGGCTCCATTGTATTAATGTGTCCCGACTTCGCAACTAAGTGCGACACTAAACTGCGCACTAAGCAAGATCGAGACGTGCTAATAGGGTCTACCGGTGGGCAACATGATATCACCGGCTGACTCACCGGTTCGTGACTGAGGACTCGCAGTGAGCTGGCGCGGCTTGAACCGACTTAACCCCGCCGGTAGCGTTCGGAGCGTTGCAAAAAGCGCTCCGTGATTCGTGAGCTTCCCAGGGGGATGCGACCGGCAAAAAGCGTGCACGCGCCAGCAATTAGACGCGCCACGATGCCGCCCCGCCGCGTCTGGGTCGCGCAAGAGCGCTCTTAGGGAACGAAACTGCCTGGGAACAGATTTCGGAATCCACAGACCCCCAGTCCAGCCTTAAGCCCTTCGCATAAGGGCTCCGATTATCGCCGGGCGGCCTCCGATCTCTCGAATCACTGCTTAATTGTTCCGCATGGCCGCTGGCGGGGAACGAAGGAGCGAGGAGTCGTGTCGGACACGCGACCAGTCCTGCATACATTACAGCGCGCTGTACGGATCGCGTTTCGCCTTGGCAGCGAGCGAAACGGCGCCGTTTTGTTTCTCTCTTACGCTCGATTTTATTGCCCGGCGGGACCTGGCGCGGCACCGCTTGCGACGCCGCGTCGCCTGCATATCCGCGAAGGTCATCGACCTCCGAAACGCATGCACACGAAACAATTGTTCCGATAGACCGAACACCGTCTCCGATAATCCAATGAACTGACACCACCTTCGCTCCGCCGTCCTAATTGGGCGTGAGTCGGCTATTGATGAACCCGTCGTGTATTTCGTCTTCCGCTTCCTCGTTACGCGCGCGACTCGCATACGGATCGCATTGTGAGACGAATTGAATTATGGGCATTGGATCCATCGTGTCGTTCCGGTGCTATCGGACGGGTGGATTGTACTCACCCGACTCGTCGCGGTGTTTTGACCTACCCCGTCTGAGAGCCCGCGTAAACAGCTGCCGTGCTTAAACCATCTTTATTTATAATAATCTACCATAAGATGGTAAACGGATCGCGTCACATCCTATTATGTAGTTACGATAGTCCAACTAGAACATTGTGTCGGCTTTGCTCTCACAGTTTATATTATATAGTTTCTAAGTAACAAATTCGTTTTACTTTAACTAAAGTTTGAATCTATTACTCTGTATCATGTCTAGAATCGGTTGTGGGACGGGCGATTACTCACCCACACCGTACATGCACACAAACTTTATACCTAAAATTAGTATGGAATATCACACGTGAGCAAACTCTTGGAAGTGACGTCACCAGTTTGATGGATTCCGGTCGTTCTTCGGAAAGTTTGTGAGTGCACTCGATGACGTCACGCGGGCACAATGGCCCGGAGGGTAACGTTGAGGGTGCAGGATGAATCACGAAATCTATTAGGTCACTCCCCTCGACGCTATATATATCGACCTACCAAAATACCCACGTGGCAACAAACCTCCCTCCAAAACGAGGGGACGTTACCACTTAGTCATATAATACTCTGATTTCACTACGCTTCTATTTATAATGAAAAAAGGTCGATTGGGAAACTCCTTATTCGCTAGTGGATTTCAAATAAGAAAATTTGGCATTTAATTCAGTTTTTCAAACGCGTGTGTTATTAAATTAATACTGAAGTTAGTAAATGAGTGGAGTTATTAGTTGCATGCTTCGAAGGTTTACTAGGCGCAGTCACTAAACTGTTGGTTTCTACGTCGCGGATAATGGGCTCTTTTCCCATACGGCGAAAATATTTGTGCCGCTCTCGGATTGTTAAGGATAAAGTATTTGTCCTTTTGATCTAATGTTTTTGTAAAGGGAATTAAAAAATAAAATTCTAATCTGTACATAATATGATATTTTGTATTCATTAATTCACGCTTATCATTATTACACATACTTAATGTTTTTATTCGCATCGTGACGCACAGGAAAAGATAACGACACGAAACTGCCACTGTGAAAGCAGGAAAAATACTTATTCAAAGATAAAAAAAAAATCGAATACATTTTTTGCACGAAACAAAACAATTCCAAAGACTCGCTGTAAATATCGCCCTATTAAATTGAGACCTTTTCGAAAGGTCTCTCGGTGCGAATGTTTATAAATACAAAGTTTTTACGCTGTTGTAAGAGCGTACGAAGCTTCTTAAAAAAAAATCCCGACGCGGGGCGACCCTCGCTACCGACTTAAAGCCATAAATCTTGGCTTATGACCCATCTTTATCAACGCTCCTTTCTTTTTTGTAAACACAGTTCAATAACTCGCCACCGTGGATATAAATCAAATTCTTCCATATTCCGTTGACGATTTAAATTTCGAACGTGTTTAATTATTAATTTTCGATCGGGTTTAATTATCTGTCTGTGTTTTTTTTTTAATCTGTCGTCGCGTGGGCAGTTTACGCGCGGTCCGTTTTAGCAGACCGTGATTTCACTTCAACCACTGACGGAGGCGTAAGAATTACCGCCCGCCGTTCCCTGTTACGTTCCCCGGAGTAATTTCGATCTGCCCACGATATGCGAGGGCGGTCCACCACACTGTTTAGGGAAAACACTGGCAAAACATAATAAATATATACCGCAGGAAGGGACGGACACCCACGCACTTCCACCTAACAACCTCGGAATGTAAAATCCGGAATGGAACCAAGAGTTCAGTATGAAATGGGTCCTCCATTCTCGCTTCCACTTGCGTTGAGGAAAAATCTCGTCGCGTAAAAGGCCGTGATTGACTTCGATGGCTTGAATATTGAGAATAATAAAGTCGCTGGTTTGAACAACTGTTTTAGGGTTCCGTACCCAAAGGGTAAAACCCTATTGTCTGTCTGTCTGTTCGTCTGCCACCAGGCTGTATCTCGTGAACCGTTAGAGGAGATTCTCAATTCGACTGTATTTTTTTTTATGGGGAAATAAGCTGCAAACGAGCAGGCGGCTCACCTGATGGTAAGTGATCATCGCCGCCCATGGACATCTGCAACACCAGAGGGCTTACAAATGTGTTGCCGGTCTTTTAGGAAAGAATACGCTCTCTTCTTGAAGGTTCCCAGGTCGTAACGGTACGGAGAGACCGCCGGCGGCAGCTGGTTCCACAGAGTGGTTGTGCGAGGCAGGAAATGCCTTGTTAATTTATGTTTGCTACCTCAGAACTTTCGATTGTGTGAACCGATTTTGATGATTCTTTTTTAATTTGAAAGCTGGTGCTTCCCATGTTTGGTCCCATATTAATTTCATTGGTATTGGATCTCGGGCTCCGGAGTTGCGTAGGGAACCCCAGAAAATCAATTATAAAATGAATACAGAGCGAGATGTTTTAAGTCGTTTTTCGCTAATGAAAACATTGATTATGTCTTTAAAAAACACGCGGACCGGTTCGCGGTCTGCCGGAATTATGATCGAAACTCAATATGCGACCGCGATGCACCACAAGCGAAAACATTAACGACCGCCTCCATAGACGCAGTCTTATCCCTACGTTTTCTTTGGAAAAAATAAGATACTTAACTCGATATATTAATTCAATTACCGTTGGTAATCGTTTCGTTTTTTCAAACGCTTATTCGATTAAACGATGTGGGTCGGCGTTATCCGTGCTTTGTTTCATTCTGACCAACTGTAACGTTTGCTTATTTCTTTCGATAATATGTGTGTGCGTGATTGTACACTGGTAATGGAGGGGCAATGGCTATTAAAAAAAAAACGTGTACGTACTCTGTCACATTACGAGACGAGACACGGGCACAGTCGCTTCCTGATTTCTTGCATTCGCGCAATCGACTTAAACGAAATCGCATTCAGCGAGCGTCTTCCTTAATGACCCTTTGAACGGCACATTCCTAAACATCCGACTGCGTACAAAAAACCTAAAGTTATAAAAAATCAATTCTTGGCAGCAATGAAATTGTTAATTTTAAGTGCTGACTTATCATGTGCTCAGCGGAGAAGGAAAACATCGTGAGGAATCTAATATTGTCAAAATAATAACAAATAAATATTTCAAAGATATGTGAAATTTACCAATCCGCAGTGATGCACTATGACCTAATACCATAAGGGGAGATTAGGTCTTAGGCCGGCGGTGGGTTATGCATAGTATGTTTCTTTCTTTATCACTTAACGTAAGGTAAACTGCCATCTTGCTTGCCACACACTAGCCTAAAAAAATTATCGTATAAGCCTAATATAACCTTATCGCAGCCTTACAGAGATCTGTGTACGGCTCGCTTTGTTACCCGTAGCGTTGCAAAGCGCATATCGCGTAGTAATTGTTGCTTCACAGAAAAGCGATTAGTGTTGTGAATCTGTGTTAAACGGATACCGGTTTTTACGGATCGCGATAACCCTAATGTCGCCACTAAAGCACTTTACACACACGGAATACCCGAAACGTCACGTGTTAACTTGTGACTTTTGTTCACACTTCACATGTCGCACGGGGATAATGATGACAACTTTATGACGCATTTTTATATATGTCATGACCTATTTCGGTGAATGCGAAATTATTTTCCCCGCTGCTGCCGTTTTACCGTCACCGTCACCAAGGTGAACCACTTGGAATTGTCCGAATCGAGCCACGCGAAATAAACTTGTCTAAGATTGACCCGACGGTTTTGATACCGATATCTTGAATTTCGAATTAAAAGTTTTATCTTAAAGGTACTAATTTATTTGCACATTGTTCACCAAAAACATAAAGAAGTGCAAATTAAAAATGAATGTAAAATGAAGTACAAATTGTACAAATGACGAAAATAAAATAGAATGACACTTTTGGTTTAAAGCATAGTTTCTTTAATTCAATTTAGTTGCTTCTCATCCTATATGTGTTTTCCCTTGACGTATTACGGCTTGTTGAGAGAACGAAAACACCAATTTCGCGCGTTTGACATTAGTGCGACTGTTAGAGAGGGAAGGACGGTTAGAGCGAGACGGACCAGAGCGAGGCGCAGTGGACCCGTCGCTGTGTATGCGCATCCTAATCTCTCGACGCCAACGTAACGCGGTTCACGGTCAGCAAGAGGAAATGACGCAAGCGCGGGCGTTGCAACAGACGGACGCTTGCCAAAACATCTCGAGCGGTGTAAAAAAAACATTAATGTCTTTCTTCTTCACATTTCTTATTTGTCGCCCGTATTCTCTTCATCATTTTATCTGATAACTCTCGCATCTCATGAGAAGAGGAAGCGGCATCGCCTCGGATATTGTTCCGTTCTTCTACAAGTTAAAAGAATTAGATCAACTCAAATTTCGTTAGGTTGATTAATTTCACACAAGTAAACTAACAGCCTAAACATATAACACTGTTGTGCAAAGACCCGAAAAAATGGCCTAGCCAGTTTTGAATTTTAGAAAAAACCACCTCTGAATGTACCACTGCCTGAGTTAGCATTTTTTTTTAAAAATGCTTAAATTAGCTGATAAAATGTAGACTGGTGTTTGTTTGCAATAATCATCTGTATGGCTATAGTATACCCATTTTATCGAATGTGTTCATTCGTCGATAATATTTGCGAAAAAGGCCTCGCTTTGTTAATGGTTTCAACTTATCCCGCGCCCTATCGACCGGTTCTGCAGCCCGGTCTAGCTGTTCGAGCAAGGGTCATCAATATTCTGCATGGTCCAAACGCGAATTTCGCTCTTATTTTAGGCCTGATTGCGCACAAAATCCCTCGCGGCCAAACAGTGCAACCGAAACTGGTTTTCACATCGCGTTCTAATTACAACTCGGCCGAAGTTCTTTGCATTAGTAAATCTTGAATGTTCGCATTACACCGTCATATTGCTTTTGTCCGTTTTCCCGATATGGGAAAGGCTGATGAGTCGTATTAAAAGAAAAAGAAACTACAACCGATATCATGTTTGAAAAAAGAATCCGTATCAAATTATCAAAAGTTGCGACAAATTGGAGCGGAATACATCGGAAACTGCAAAACTTATAGGCGACTCTCGCAATGACATTGAAATGCAGCGGTGTTGCGAAATGTCAGTTTTCGTGGCGGCCTCGCGGCCCGAGATCGAAGAATACGTATAATAAATATGAGAGCGTACGCGGCCTCAGTTCGCGGTCGCCGCTTGCGTAACACGGCGAACTAACAATGCCCGCGTTTGATTGCCATAGATGGATGCACAACATTGCCAAAGTCCCGCGCGTACATGAAACTTTGCTGTTTGTGTAGCGCATGCTAGCGTAGAACATTCATTCGTCATAAAAACGACTCAAAGTTCGCGGACTACGTGTTATGAGTAGACGAAAAAAGGAAGAGTCACGCCCGTTTAGACGCAGCGGCGGATGATTTTTGACATTGTCACGGCCCGATAAGGTGCTCAGTGCCAATGGCGGTCTTACCGCGTCCGAATTTAAAGCGCAAATTGCGCGCGCCATTCCTAGCGCTGATGATCCCGCCCGTAATTATGAACTCACCGACGACAATAGATTTGGCGTCGCACGACATAACGAGAGTTCGCCGCCTCGAACCAATACTCGCGGAATCGGCGTGTTTGAACGGATAACAATTTGCCCAGCAACCGAGTCGGGTGATGTAATCGACGCTTGTAACGCCCTTTACGCGCCGAAGCTGTACAAAGTGGAAGTTTTCGGGAGCGCAGCGGCTGGCTGCGGAGTCTCGTGACGTCACGGAGCTACCCCAAGGATGGTGGTGCGTGACGCGGCGGGCCGTGGGCAATATCGATCGCGGATGTGCGGGCCGTACGCTAGGTGGTGACGTCAGCGGCACGCGGAAGCGGTTACGCACCGGCGGCTCCGGCGGCTCGTATCGACAGCACCGTGGCCAAGGACGCCCGACACGGCCACCGCGCTCGCTTGCCATACTGCCGTCACCCACCCGCTGCCGCCTCCGCTCCAGCTAGCCCCATAACCGCTACCCCATCCACCACTGAATTGTTTCGTGTACAAAACGATCAGTTACCGATCAAACCACTGACCCCAGCTGTAATGTTACTTATAAGTACGTACTTTTCGGGGGAAGTCTTACTAACCCCATTAACCTAAATTCCGCACAAATTAACCTCTACATCGACCTCAATTCCGTAAGCTGCCTCGGCAAGCTTACGTCGATGAATCTGATATTTCAATCTGCCATAAATATAGACGAAAAAATTAAATAAAATTATTTAAGCTGGCGTACGATCAATACGGGTTGAGTAAGGCCATAACGTATATATATATATATATATATATATACATATATGTATTCAGGATTTTGCATACAATGATATCCTCACGTTAACCTTTAATCGTGTTACAGACAAGGTGACTTTGTACATACATTGTGATGTAATTATCACCGCTGGGTGCGAATGTGTGCTAGTGACGTGACACCCTCGGCGGAAAGCGCGAATGATTTGCTGAGGTTTCAACGTTTCGTCAGACATCGATAGCGAACGATAATAAACTTTAGCGTTTTCAGATACAGTCTGAATTACCTTGTACAGGGCGCCGTGAACATTTATAGCAATATTGTAAACTAATGTAATTTATTAGAAGAAATAAATTACGTTACCAACTGGAATTCACGAATATTCTAGAGCAGTAATCTATTATCTTATAATAGTTTCCATTTGTGTCTTATGACCGGTTTTGAAAACGACACTTTTTGTTATGGCGTCTATCTAATTATTGACTATTAGTCGCAAATGTATACCATATTAAGTTGTTTGATCGTGTGTACATACGTACATCACTTTGTATGTAAAACGGAGAACCGTTGGTGATATTTTGCAACAGATAAAAAAATACTGTTAAATAAACTAAAATATACGGACCATACGTGACAATAAGAGTAAAAAATTGCAAACGCAAAGGAAACGCGTTCTGTATTTCAAAACGTTGTGTTCATGATAGCCGCGTAATGCTTCCGCGTACAAAATCATTGTTTATCACACGTCACGTCCTGCTACCGAGAAATCGGCTTGCGGAGGAAACTTATGCGTCTGGAAACTTGCTATCAGCCGTCTCGTTGGAAGCCTCGGCGTATGAGGAAAATGAAATGGTTTCGTTATTAGATAAGTCGTATTAACATACGCTATTATCGTTACACTATGAGAATCCGGCGGCCGGCCTCCGCTGCGCTCGGTTCAATGTCAGTTGCGCAAGCGCCGCTCTTCCGCCTTCGGCCGCGTCGCCCGACCAGGAGCGGGCTCGGTTCCAAATTTAAATTCTAACGTTCCGCGTTCGAAGCCATCCTTAGGATTTTTGTGTTATTCGAATTTCAAACGACGGACCGTTCCATTGATTGTGACGTCACAGTATCGAACTCGTGAACCGAAATACGTGATCGGATTCATGCGCGGTACGTCCGCTTTCTTGTTTGTTTATCAGTCGGCCATCGACGTGACTTTACGACGATAATGTTCACCAATTTGCGGTATTAGCATTCTTCGCATTGCCCTGAGAACACATTTTCTGTGTTTTGTATATATATAAACGTGCAACCTCGAGTTTCCGTACGATAATTTATTTTATTTACAAATGTATGAACGACTTCGCTTATTTCCACGTTTATTGTCCTCTAAAAATACCGTATAACTTACCGTAATACCGTATAACTTGCCAGCCGAGAAACAATCGAACGGTCCCCGTAGGGTAATTTTCAATTACATACCACCGCATCTGATGTTATGCTTCGCCTCTTCCTGTACCTTCGGTATCTCTCTCCGGGCGGTCGTAAAATTTCATGACGGAAAATGATCGCTAATCAAGGAGCGAAACATAACAATAAAGCATACGCGGGGAGCCTTCCTTTGAAATTGCCAACCGCAGCGAATTGAGGCAATTGCAAATTTCGATTTTATTAATCGCATTTCCCTTCGATTTGATTTTGTTTCGGACGCTATAGATGCGCTTAGAATACGCCCCCAATGCGACAAATAAATCTTACGTTAACACGAATAGGAGACGATTGCGCATTTATAAATAGCTTCGCTTATGCATGCGACCAATATAAAGACTAAATCAATTGTGAATATGTAACCGGAGATTCTGCTACGCGGAATTAATGTCTTCGTACCATATTTATCTCTAATATTACGTCAGCGTACATGTCTCCTGAGTAGTATTGTTAACTTTCGATATAATGGTTTCTTGTCACAATTAATCGCTAGCTTCGTAATATTGCGATGAGTCTGTCACATTATCTTACATGACAGTTGTCGTAACTGACCACCCCATATGGGAATATTGATGTGATACAAAAGTAATGCGACATTCGTAACACCTCCGTTTTGGCATTAGTTACAATTCTATTTAAACACTAGAGTGTTCCGACCTAAGGCATTACAATAGCTTCGCTGGCTGTGCACATATCACTATCGTTTCTAACACTTGTAAATATCTGCAAATGTTTGGTGTTTTCTAACTCTTCAGAAACTTCATAAACATATAAAATGCTTTTAACGAATCCTTGCCGTGTGAACCTAATAATAACACGTATTAGTCCTCAAATAAATAACTATAAAGAACAATGTCCCTTCATACCTAATAGTTAACTTGCCGGGCCTGGACAAACGCAATTTTTATTCGTCTCCCGTCTCGAAGCGATACAATGTCGGCCATCTGCCGTGTAGGTTCATTCCCGTTTGTTGAGTCCGTTTCCGGCCACGTTACATCCGGCCCTCGAGAGTACTCAATCTCACTCGATCTCGTTTCACCCCTGCTCTCGTTTGGAAAAAATCGAGTGCCATGAGAAACTCCACGGCACGGCGGAACGAGTGCGTATGGTTCAGCTTTGTCTACAGTCCGACATTTTATCCCATTGCGGACGTAGCTATAGTATACATTAATATAAAACCTAGGTCTATTACGACGCGAGTACGTACATACTTGTCTTTGAGTGACCACACGCGTGATTATGAAATATATTACTACTAGCTTTGAAGCCCTTAAATAAATGTCTTTCAACCCCTTACAACACTTTTTTCCAATTAAAAAATATGTCCTTTCTCAGGCTCTAGACTATCTGTGTACCAAATTTCATTTAAATCGGTTGAGTAGTTTTTGAGTTAAAGCGAGACAGACAGATAGTTACTTTCGCATTTATAATATTAGTATGGATTTAGACACAAGGCATACACTCAAATATGTAGTTAAAATTTTTTATATAGCAAGACAACTTAACCGCCCGTGTTTACAGATATATAAAGAGATCAAAGATATATTATATCTATTATATACATACTAGCTGCTGCCCGCGACTACGTCTGCGTAGAGGGGTGAAAATTTAGGGTTGTATGTATTTTTGTATGCTGTGTCATAAAAAAATAAAAACAAAAAGTTTTATATAAAAAATAAAAGAAATTTCGGGGTGGACTACCCCCTTAACATTTAGGGGGACGAAAAATAGATAGTAGCCGATTCTCAGACCTACTGAATACGCATATAAAATTTGGTAAAAATCGGTCGAGCCGTTTCGGAGGAGTTCAAGTTCGAACCCCGTGACACGAGAATTTTATATTTAGACTAGCTGCTACTACGTCTGCGTAGAGGGGTGAAAATTTAGGGTTGTATGTATTATATTGGCATAAAAAAATAGAAACAAAAAGTATATTAAAAAATATTTTTATAGGGGGACGGGATCAGACCTACTGAATACGCATATAAAATTTGGTAAAAATCGGTCGAGCCGTTTCGGAGGAGTTCAAGTTCGAACCCCGTGACACGAGAATTTTATATATTAGATTATATTGGCATCACAGTATATTAATATTTATGAAGGGATTCGACAGCATTTAGTGCTGCGGTACATTCTAATTCGTTGTTATTTGTACTTTGGTACGCGCATCGCTATAAAAGTGTTTCAATTGACATGGAAGTACGTAAGAATTGTTGCAGCGGCTCGACCTTACAGCGTTATCTGCCCTGATAAGAGAACGACCTTTGATGTATTAGGTATCTCGTCGCCACGATAAGACGCAAGAACGATGACCGTATTGACTGTTGAGGTAGGGAAAGCGAATACTCCTTAGGAATACTTAAATGAGACCAACTAATAATAGTGTATATATTATGTCCCACAGCTGCGTAAAGACGTGAAGACAGAGTAATTAGAGCATAGTCCAGTAGGCGACCTTACGGCAGACTTATTCAAAAAAACTCCTTTTATATGTATAAAATTTACAGTTTACTAACCATGTTTTCCGTTGCCGTTTCATCTTGTGACGATAATATTATATCACTTAAAATTGCAAAGAACAATTTAGTTAAAGCCGGCACCGGGATTTGAATATAAAACCGAAGTAGTAAAAATACTGTACTAATAATTAAGGACAGCCTAGAAGAGCAATTATGCAGCAAATTAAGTATCAATCTTGAAAGATTATATTATTAAGAAGAAACCGTCTTAGCCCTACGGTGTGTGCGTTTTATAGTTTCTGCCTATCCCGAGGAAACAATTTGTACGCTTTAATATATTCTGTTTTATAGCATCGTCCCTTGCTTACTATGTTACCTGTTTTTATTAGACAACTTTGTTTCTAAATTTATTAAACTCTGTAAATGTGAATCAATTACCCTATATCAATACGTTCTTTACCCTATGAAAACAATAGACCATAATATTTAAAAAGATAACATATATGGACACGCATTAATAATATCAACTATTAATGTAAAATCGGTACTGAATTTGAAAATATATGAATATATATTTAATATGTTTAGTCTAGTTTCTATTCGATACTGATCTATGTATAAAAACATGAATATGGAAACTTTATGCATTGTCCGATATAAAAGTCGAGCTAAAAAGTGTCAAGGTGTAGCATGCAACATGCGATTGTCCCGTCCGCGGCGGGTTAATCTTTCGACAATTGCGTGAGCGACGGGACAATGATAGGGGCTTTTGTTAGCGCTTGTGAGCGCACCTTCGGGCGAGCAGATGTTCCGCGGAACAAACGCCTTACACCCGCGATCTCCTACGCATGACTCCGCCGAAATGGACCGCGCAGACGAAAGGCCATTGTGCAAAGATTCACCTATTCAGCGTTCAAAGAAACACCTTTTTTTTTTGCGAAGACAATGCGTTGCACATGCAATACAGCCTACCTGCGGAACGCACGTGTTCGACATTCGCATTCTTAGCAGACAATAGACGATGCACCCTTGCCGTCCCGAATTCAACCTCAAGGTGTCGTGAACAAGGCGCCTTTCGCTTTGACCGACGCGATGAATAGGTCGACTTCGTATATAACATGTTCCCTCGAGGGACTTGGGTAACAACGTCTCGGCTTTACACCGACTGGTCTATTTTAGGCGCACTATTTCATACAATACGAAATCGTAAGGTGATGTAAGTAAAATAGTAGTGTTTATATTTTTAATGTGGCACGCACACATGTTCAAAATTATGGAAAGTGCGCGAAATGGAGACATGCGTCGTAATTTTGAAATACCTACTTTGCGCAATTCCTTTTGAACGTTTTTTATAAGCTACAGATGTTATTCCAGATACGATTTGTTTTATCATATACAATTTTTCTATGTTATACGACTCGCCTTTCACCCAATTTAACATAACCACTAAGGAATAGTATTACAAGGGAAATCAAGAGAGCGTAAAATTATGATGGTACCTGAAAGCAATATCTAAGCTATTGTTTCCGTGTCCAAAACAGGAGTGCGCTTGTTTGGACACCTGATGACAACTCTATCTGGACGCGCAGGCCGACATTCGATACCGGCGTAAGGTCAACAAAGTTTCGTTACTATCGAGGAGCGAATGTTTATTCAAATGCACTTATAACCAGTCTCAAAGTTTGGCTTTCGACATATGTGGCGAGGTCAATATTTGCCGTTTTTCTCTCTCCCATTCGATCGAGCTTTTGTGTGGCACAACTTGGTCGCAACGCTGTATAATATCGCCTATGCGATACAGAGTATGCTTACAAGTCAATTTATTATACGGCCGCAGACTAGGCTGAGCGAAGCGTACATTTGCCCGTATTCGCAATGAAAAACAATTGAAAACGCAGACGAACGGCGCGGTGGGATATTACGCTATCGATTTCGCCCGTTATTAATTTTGATATCTGTGTTTCGTCTGTCCTTTCCGCAACAAAGAGGAAGCTTGCGCGTAATTGTTTTCAAATTTCGAACGAATGTAATTCCCAACGCGATCAAAACTGTTCGATATTCTTAATTTGAATTCGTACCGTTACGCGAACTAGTTCGCGGCGATTTTCCTTCCATATGGACGTCGAAGTTTTTGTGCGGGGGCATGTGCTCGAGCATCTGTTTGGTCAGATTAGTGTTGTTTTTTTTTTGTTCCCATTCGAACCGCATAAAACATTTGGAATAAGTGACACGGCACATGGCTCTACCTGGCTTTGTCTGAGCACAATGCTGGCGTTAACATCTGCCGTTCATGCCGCGACAGCCGTGTGCCTCCATCAAGAATACTTCGGCGGCCATACTCGGTGTATTTCGTACGGAATTCTTTCTATTCGTTATTAAACCAATTAGAGGTCGACAGCGATCGAAGGTTAATGCGTTTATTTATTTTAAACACAATTGCACAAGCCGCCAATTGCATCAGCCGCGCACGAGTGCTCGGAACCCCCAAAGGTTACAAGCGCCAACCGAAATTGGATATAACCTCTCGTCGAATATCGGGTTTTCGTAGCGCGTTGGGACATTTCAAACTGCACTTCAGCATAACGATGCCCTCGAAAGCGGGCTCGCGAAACGGGTCTATTAAAATGGTATCAATTTTTTATTACATAATTGTTCCGAGGCGAAAAAAACTTCGCAACACTCGAGTGTTGCGAAGTTTTTTTTTTAAATTAGTTAAAACCTTCGCCGTTGTTTATACATCCAACAATTAAACAAACCGTCTTTAAATTAGTACAATGCGTAAGTGTCGAGAAACAGTTCAAAAATGTTTTACTTTTTTTTAAATACTTCCAGCCAGCAACACAATGCTCTTGCGTTTTTATAACAAAAGAATCGAACACTCGATGTTGAACGATAGAAACAATTAATCGAGTGGTCCGGACGCTGCGATGCAAGTTGTGAAACAATCGGCCGCGTAGTTGCCAAACAGTTGTGTGCTACCGCTTTTGTAATACATCTGGATCGTTTTGAAACTTATTAACCTGTTTGTTTTGCGCTCAATTGCGAGCACTCGCTAGTTTCAAAAGCCCCTCAAAGGACTTTACCATTGTCCTCGGTTTTAAGTGTCGGGACAAAGGGACGCGTCTAACGATCGAGTTACCTTTGTTTGTGTCTGACTCTAATTAAACAAAAGACTTTTATCTTTTCGGTGCTCGCCTTTGTGAATGTCTCGGGCAGGTGAATGAAATGATGCTGCAGTAAATAACGTCGGAATTGTCATTTTGGAGCAACGCCTCATTAAATCCTTGGCAGACTGTGCGTCGCCTTTAACGGTCTATGTCGTAAAAGTACAAAATTCGATATTACAAAAGGCAATGTACAAATGCAGCGGAACCGGCGGTGTGCAGTTAGCTCATAGTAACGAACGCTCCGCGTTTTGGAGCGGTGTTTTGCCGCAACAAATCCTTGGTGGAACCTTAACCCACTTGGATTATTACGAGTGCGCTGTGCGCTCGCCTCCGCCGGCGCCGCTGGCAGCGCTGCAGCCGCTTGATTTCTTTTTACCCACATTTAGATTTCGAACACAAGAGTTTTTTGTAATAAAAGATTGATGTCTTAATAAGTTCGATTTTTAAAATTGTTCGAATTCAAATGATGTTGACGTGTTTAAGAATATATGGAATACGCTTAATGTCAGCGTTGCAACGGTCACAACCGTCGTATAAGCAGGTGCATTTGCGACCTTGCGCAATAGCTTAGCTACACACTATGTGACATGTACACGTCTGGAAGCATTTATAACTGTAAACGTTTACTTTCGTTTGCAGCCCTGTTTGAAACGTGCCTTGCACTTAATTACTCACTACAAATAGCTAATGATTCAACTCTAAAACTATCCCGTACTAAAACAATGATATCATCGTGAAGCGCATGAGAGCGTCTGACGCAGGCCGCGCATTTGAATATCCCCTTGATTGACGTAAACGGAGCCGATAGCGCTGCCAAATTATGTTTTTTCGCCGTGGCCTAGTGATCTAGTAAACCAATGTCAAAGGTGTAATAAGCGGTCTTTGTTGAGTGCTGCAGTTTGTTTCGTGTGAAAAATTCCCACGTCGACACACACGGATGGAGATTTCGTTCGAAGTTTAATAATAATTTCGAGTGAAAGTTTACGGATCGACACCCGATTCTCCCGTAGGGGGGTGTGTATCGAATGCGGCGCGCCGTCGGCGCTGCACCGTTGGGGCGTGACGGCCCGAATACTGGGTCAAGCACAACGGTGCTTCGGCATTCATTGTCAACGCGGCCCGCAAGCGGTCGAACTTGACGTATCGGCGAGTTCTTTTCGCCCATTCCATAAGGCCACAGCAGCCGCTGCACTCGATTGCGACAAACCGACGTCTCACATGTTATCTAATAGCGACGCAATCTAAGCAGTGCAGTGCTTGAGGGGCGCTTACGTCGCAATTCCCCGTTCGCGTTTTATCATAGTCGAATGCGAATGGCGAGCCCCCCTCCCCCTCTCCTGTGGGGTCGTCGGCCGCGCGCTCCCAGAGCCTCCGCCGCGGGAATGATACACGGCTAATGGCCGAGTGCGTTCACCGCGTTAGAAAACCCACCGCGGTTCCGCGCTTTCTTCGTTGCATCACCGCATTGTGCCGTTTCGCGCGCTCTCTTCCGCCGCGCTGATGTTGTGCAAGCGACCGTCGCCTACCATCGAATTCGAAATTCGAAATGGCACCGTTCGAAATTCGAACGCGCAGCTCCGGTTGCGAGTAGCCGCATCGCGATTACGCCGCAATCCGATATCCGCGCTTTCTTCCGCCGACCGCGCCGCCCCGCCGCGGCTTTCGCAAGTTCACCGACCTTTCGCCGGCGTGCATCTCGGCCGCGGGCCGTGACATAATCGCTCGAGTTTAGAAATTACGATTTCCGCACTTTCCGCGTTGCGTCACCGGAATCTAGAAAAAACAATTCGGCGAGGTGAACGACCCGGTTCGCGGACCCTATGCGCGATCGCCGCGTCGACATTCGCGCAGAGCGTTGCTCCTTCCGTGATCTCATCTCTGCGGCGCAACGGGGTACAGTGAGCGTCGGCGCGTTCTCATGTTTCGGGGGTCCACTGTGCTATGATTGGTACGGTACGACGGGGACTTTCATCGGCCTGGTACCATTTCGCCGGGCGAACGGTACCCGCCGCCGTGAAAGTACCGCTGCGCGCCACTCGCCGCCGCCGCGTCTTCCGAGCCGAATCGCGAGGGCATCGTCCGCCGTCGGCCGTCCGTTTATCAACGCGATCAAATCATATTCGATACACGTTCTCGATCCGTCTCGAGCGTTTGAAATTCCGATACGCGAAAGGCCCATGAACTTTCGATGTTTTGAACTAGAAAAGTGCCGGAGTACGTTTTCCACGCCGTTCATATCGGTTCGTTAACTTGATCGTAATCATCCTTGCCCCGCTGTTGTTGTGATTTTCAAAAATACGGGAACCCGTTCCGAGCGGGTCGCATTCGCTTGTTTACTCGTGGTTTCAGATAAACTTAACGGTAGAAACCTGTTCTCTGTTTTGACGATTCCTTCCTTTTATTATTTGCGAATACAACGTGCTATTTACAAACACGGCGTTCGAGAATTTTCGCTTATAGCTATAAAGTATACAGTATTACTACAATTTGACGAGAAAATAATCCATCTTTGCGTGTTCAAACTGAGTGAGATGTACATTGCTGTTTTGATGAGAAGGGTTAATGTTACGTGTTTAACTAAGCCGCTGTGTATGATGTACTTATGTCGTCGTTTGAAATTGATTTCATAATGTAGGGCTTTGTGCGTTATTGTGGGGCAACGCGACCTCATTAGGGTCGCCTCAGCGGAGTTATTGAACCATCGGGTCGATTCGTTCTGTTCCAAGATACGGATCTCGAAATGGATTCGAGAGCTTTAACATATACGTTTTTTCCATAAAGTGCTTTTTTTTTAATTCCAATTCAGTCCATTACGACCCTACGATTTGAAAATGTTCACATTGTTTCTCCTATAACAATGTCGCCTTTTCGCGTGTTTAAGCCATTTTTTTAAAGGGCGAAAATAAATTTCGAATATTCTATTTTAAAAAATCTTGTAATATTTTCATGACTAAAAGGTAATTTGTATGAACAAAAATAAACTCTACAATTGCAAACGTCGCGTGGTACTACGAAAGGCTAACATACTCTTCAGTGCTTAGGGCGAAACCAGTTGAGGCAGGTGCCGATTTTTCCGCTTGCAGGCCATCGGAGCTGCACACAATGGAACCAGTTCGTATGCACTACATAACAGCCTGTACGTTTATAAATGGAAATTGTGAACGCGTTACTAGTGTGTCGCTCGCCTAATTACCATCCGAATACAAATATAATACCGAGTACATTTTCGCAACGTACGCCGATGCGCTGATAACCCGAGCGATATTGCGTAACAAGCGAACTGCGCTGATCTTTACGAATTCGGCCTAATGCTTCGCGTTTTTTTTTTTTCGGGTAAAGGGCGGTTGCCAGTATTACTGACAACTTTCTTTTTTTTTTAAGTATTGAAACGTCGCGTTAATAAATAATTGTGCCCCAAAACGTCCTATCAAATGACCGTTTATAATTTCGTTTAGCATTTGTAACACTTATCAACCCAATCGAATACAAATGTGTTCATAATAAGGAACTGGTTTCTTATCAATGTAAAGTCAACCTAGCTACTACCAACGTCTATATCATTATATTTCGATCTTATTTCGTTTTATCGAGTACATCACAAAATAAACCCGCCTAATATTAAACAAACAAACGTGGTGAAATTATTTAGTTACATTTCCACGATAAGATTCGAGTGAAATGCCGATAAGATTGCTCTAGCACTCAACCAGGACGCAGTAATACGTCTTAAGTAACATTATTCAGTGATTGCTTATTTCATGTACAAAATTCAAGCAACCGATAGCATTGTGAGCGAAAATGTATGCCGTGCCTATTTCATTCGTGCGCAAATTTATGTGTCGACTAACGTTCGCGGAATCTACAGAAAACAAAATGACAAACGTTACAGGAAAAAGGAAAATGAACATATATAGAAATGAACAATGATGCTTTAAAAATGTGGATAATAGATGCGTAGTCTGGAATATGTGACGTCATCCATCCACGACGGCATCTTTTTAAAATGGCCATTGTTTTTTTTTATATAATAAACACGCCGTCGCCAGTGTTTGTATACGTGTGCGTTATCATTATATAACATAATGAGTTAATTAAGTAATAATGTCATTGCAAATCGTCGGAGATTAAACCTATTTGTCGTCCCACGCGTTTCTGCAAGCACAAGGCAGAGCGTGTTTCGTAAGGCGAAATCGCAACATCGCTTATTTCGCGTTTTCGAAACGCCCCTGCGTCATCCGTTCCTTTAGGTTTGCGTTTTGCATCTGTGTAAAGTTGAATAATTAATCGAGTTGTTTTTCTTTTAATACAAAACTGCCAGTTGTAACGGTTACTAAACTTTCTCATTGTGGTGAAATTCGAACCCATCTGTTGCGTTGTTTCTATAGATTAATCAATGGCAAATGGCGACTTGTGTTATTGTTCTAGAATTCGAATGTTCCGATAGAATGCGTCCAGTAGAAAATGGATCTGTCAATCGGTTGGTGAGAGCTCACTCCGCGCCCGCCTACGCGAGATACAATTGTTTCGACACGTGTGCAAACAACATTATGAAACAGACCACCGGCCGGCGATTTAATACGTTGCGATGTACTCGGAGACGTTTTGCAAATCTGACGCGGCAGTTACAAGAGGCGTTACTTAAGGCCCCGCCGCCCTCCTGCAATGTAGAAACGTACGAAATAACACCGAGCTCTCGAACTTATCCGTATATACTTTGCAGTAGAGTCGGAGCGAGATCCAATACCGTTAACCAACCGTTTGCAATCCGCAGTACAGTTGCTATAACATTCGCAACATGCACCGCCCGCTATATCGCAAGCTCTTGCGGCTAACACTGCAATCGTTCTTTACGATTAATCTTACAGCCGTACGAACTGCCCGTGCGGATTTGGAACGAGTTGTTCTATTCTTAAAATCCATTCCATTTTTAGAAAGACCCAATCCGCGCTTACGTTAATGGACGAAGAAGGAAACGAGATCCGCGCACGCAAACCAGGATACAGATGTGCCCCGGTCAAAGAGGACTGAGCGAATCCGCTGTGGATCCGTTTGCGCCGAACGCCTGGTGGACAATGGGGCGTGCATAGTTTCGCGCTTCCGTCTCCTAATAATGCGCGGGAAGCGATCGCGTGGCGAAACAATCGCGGATTCCGGCCGCGTGCGGCTGCGCGGATGCGGCGGATGTGAGCGCGGCTTTATCGGCGCATAAAGGCGGGCGCACACATCCGCGGATCTAGACCGCATCTGTCGGCGCGCAGCTGCCCTCTCCGCGCCCTCACCTGGCGGCAGGTGAGGGCCGCGCCAAATACGCGCCACGTAAAGGACCTCGCGTGGCTCGCTTATCTTTGTTCGACGACGATTTCTATTTCGGTCCCGGGTCATAGTAAGTGACAAAGCAGACGACATAGCCCTTACTCTTAAATCAAACTATTCAAAAGGCACATCTCTGCACGTCTATGAAATGGATTTGCGTCTTTGTGCTGTCGAAACGAGCAGCGGCCTTAGCCGCCCAGAAACTCATCTTATTTAGTGTATTTATTCAACAATAGCTTTATTTGACGACGATATGGGTGAAATTGCTTTACAGCGCAGCGTTTCCCAACCGTTGCAGAAGTCGGAATTGTAAACGTTATGATGAGTTATGAAAGTGATCGTGCAACCCGACCACCGTGTCAGCTATACCGTCTCTCCGTTCTCGTCCTAGCGGCGGAATTCCTAACGGTAACTTCGAGGAAAATAACGCTGTCAATGGTCCTGAAAGATCGGGGGCGCTGATGAGATAGCATCGGACGTTTTTCGGCGAACCCTCGTCCCAAAGGCCGACACGTGCGCCGCCCGCGGACGGCGAAAGTGTTTCGAAACGCAACGCGGTTATATCGGGAAAGAGTCAATGAACGGAAGTGTTTCACCAGCGGTGACATGGGCCCGCGCATTTATCGCGCCTTGCGCAAGTCCGGGACCGTTTGCCCAATTCAGCTGTGCGCGGCCCCTCCGCCGCCATGTGTCGGCATGAATGGGCCGAAATGCTGCAAGTGCACGGGCAGCGGTAGATACGCCTACGCCGCCAACGTACACTTTCTACGGCTCTTTCTCTGTGGCGCGGCGGTCGATTGCAAAATGCCGGCGGGGTCGCGCTTTCTTCGCTCGCGACTCCGTGCTGGAGAAATTATTGCGACACGCCGCCGCGTACACCGACCCCGCGTTAGAAAGTCGACCGCTCACCGGATTTAACACTCGGTGCGGCCACGTAACGGTGTAATTGCGGCGGCCTCCGTGACGGAGATCGATGGGAATTCGGACGGCTTTTGGCGACGCACTGGACGCTTTCTTCGTTGCGCAACGTTCGCGTAACGCGCGGGTCATCGAACGGCGGCTGTGTTTCGTAAACGCTGCGGCGGGCAGGGAGCCGGCGGTGGAGGGCGCGCGGGCAATTGCGACGGGCGCGGTTTGCGCAACGGGCGGCGCAGTTGCAACACGGGAGGCGGGCGCCGCTTGGACCGCCGCCCGCGCTTGCAACACGCCACAGCGCAACGAGCCCGCCGCCCGCGCCATTGTGACACGCCCGGATAAGGCCCGCGGCACACGATCCGCTGGAGCGGAGCGGGAGCTCCGCGTGTCGCCGGCCCATCGCGCCGTTCGATTTTAAAACTAAAACAATTTTGCAACCGATGCTCGTTCACATCAGCGTTTTCGCAAGCGGCCCAGCGGCGCTCGGTTTCAAAACGTTTGCGCGCCGACTTGCGTTATCGGCGCGGCGATAAAGCGCACCGCGCTCCTGCCGCGCTCGCGAGACCTGAATTCTGGAGCGTGGAAGCTAACGCCGATAAACGCGGCGGCGGCTTTAGTGCGCCGCCCAGACTTCGCAACGTTTCGCAACGGTGGCCGGAGTTGTGTCGGCCCTACGCGAGCGGAGTGGACGATGCAGGCACATGCTTGCACCCGGCTCGGCTATCAATCAAACTTGGGGCGTCGAGGCGGAATTGTGCAACGAGGGCCGCGGTATAATTGGACGCGGCCGGGACGGTTTCCCAACGCATCCCGGCATCTCACCGGTGGGGCAACCGTTGCGACAGCGCCTCCCTTCGGCGCTCTGCGAGCCGCGGCCGCACCGTCCGGCGAAGGCGATTGTGCACCGCCGACGCTTAGGCGACATTTCGCAATGGCGCGTATCGGCGGCCGCTTGCGCAAGCCGCGCCGATATAAGCCGAGCAGGAAGTGCATGCGTGTGCGCATCTGAGCGGCCCGCCGCCATTGTCCGTTGCGAAACGGATTCAGGGCTGCGTTGGGCAACAGCGCTTGTGAAAACGCCTCCCGACGTCTCCCCGTCCCGTTTCCCGGTCCTCGCCGGAGCGAAGGTCGCGGCGGTGTGACGTCACCGCCCGCAGCTGAAAGACCGTACGGCCGAGAACGCGCAATCGCGGCCCGAGGCGGTTGCGAAGCGCACGTGAGTCAGTTCGTTAATGCGCCCGTTTTACATTCGGGTACGTCACGAACGCAATTAGACGCCGGAACGCGCCGGCGCGGCCCTAACTGGCGGCTAGTGGGGTCGCTAGAGCGGTGTCCTTTCGCCGCGTCGCGTTCGGCTTTTCGGGCCGCGCTACGTGCGCCGAGAATCCTTCGAGGCCGGCGCTCGGAGCGCGCTCGGAAATCCGGCCAACCTTCCGACCGCGTTGCGACAGCGCCGCAACTTATTTACCACGTTGCGAAATGCGAATCGATCGCGGCCGCAGCCGTCGTAAGGAGCTTTAATTGGGAACGATCGCGCGGCGAGGACGCCTCCCTAGGCCGAAATACACCTCATATCTGGACCACAGCCACTCGGAAGGTGCGCAAACAGCGTGCTACACGCGTCGATTCGGCCTCAAATAGAGTGTGTCACGCTCGTCTAGGCACGTGCCGATTATCTGTCGGGCGCAACTAGCCGACTAAACTAATAACTGTCTCCGAGCATTCGGGCTCCGTAATCCGTCCGTGCGGCATTTCGAGCGATAACCGGCGCCGAGTTGCGACACCGTTAACGAGAGTAACCTTTAACGGGTGCCAGCCGCCGCGCATTGTCACGATCTCACAAATGTAGCACGCCCAATAAATCACCGTTCGTCGTATCTCGCTACTGAACTTGCAGCCGCGTGCCGCATCGCTAATCGCTGCGATACGTACAGCCCTAACAACTTTGTTTGTCAAGCGGAGATTCGATCGAACCCAATACTTATCGACACCAGCTTTCGTAACGCATGCCGAGACTGGGGCGATGTTTCGACGCTACAGAAACGTCGACTCGCTCGTCTATGGCGATCAAAGCCCTCATTTTAAGGCTGTAATGAACTTTCGCTTTAAAAATAGATCAAGGAGGAACCCCTCGTAATGTCGATCTAACCAGAATTCCCCTTCGCTTGTATTAATAAACGCGCTAAATATATCCCATACGGTGATGCACGTCGATTGAATGCGTCGGAACGCCTACTCGACACCTGCCTTTCAACCCCGTGAGTTTCATTCCACGCTTCTAAATTACTTCGACTCATACGTATATGGCTAGTATGTAAATGTCTCAAAAACTCGAAAGCCGGGCGGAACCATCCCATAATTCCAAAATAATAAAGCACCCGACTTTACTCTAAGTCATACTTTTGCGAAAGTGGCATGCAAAGAAGTGATTCACACGATGTTACCAACCTTTCAAAACGCGCGCCGGTTACCTTTTTCCATAGACGATATGATATAGATAAACTTTAGTCGGATCTAATGTATCATTCGAAACGCTATCGTTACGTCGAGGTGCCCCATTCGTGTGCATTCGATGCGTTTCGAAACGACATGGACGCAAAATTCGGTGACGAAATGGGAATCCATTGCCATATCTATGGCGTTGGCAGTGATGCTGCAATCACAAAATACCCATAATAATTAACACAAAAGACGCGCTAACCGCTCTTTAATGACCTATATTATAATAACCAATAAGAAAAATAAATAATAAGGGAAAATTGTAATGTTCCCACAATAACTGCAATTACTCGAGGCCCTAAATGTCCAAATCTTGCATTATCTACCTGTACTTCATAGGCTATAGTGACTCACATACTAAATGTCACATTATGGGATATCGGAAATGATTTATTGAAATCGTACGCGATTTGAAAGCGCGCAATCGGACTAAGATACAGACAGGAAAACGTTTACAATATTGTATTCGTTATACGACAAAAATATATAAGTAAGATATGTGTGTGCTTTTGTCGTAAGATCTCCATATCTAAACTTGGGTTTCGTTTGTTGCAGGACGACGTTGAAACTGGAGTCGCTTGAAGATGCGGTGGTCCTAGACGATCCAGAGGAGGATCTACTGCAAGACAAGCGCGGTTGCCCGGCCTACGTGTCTCCGGAGATCTTGAGGGCCCATCGAACCTACTCGGGGAGGGCGGCCGACATGTGGTCCCTCGGCGTCATCCTGTACACGATGCTCGTTGGAAGGTATGTATCAATAAAACAGTACAAAATATACGTCTGTCTATCTACTAATACCGTAGTATAATACTAATCAAGTTATTAACGTGTATATATAGATTAAGAGCATAATTGCTAGTTGGTATATGATCGCAAAACAACAGAAAAACAAAAAAAAATTGGACAAGAGAGTAACGCCCAAATAAGAAGTTACATCTTGAATACTCGAATTAGTCAGCGACCTCTCAGACCGCTTAATCTCTCACGAATAAATTATTTACGAATAGGTCACTGCGACAGGCTCGTGTAAAAATGTGTAATTAGTAAAGTCAAACAAAACAATTACGTTCGTCGCAAGCGTTCAGTTTTTCTGTTATCAGTTTCATTTAAAAAAAAAACGTTCCGCCATATAACATGATCGTATCTGACATTGCGAATACAAAACGTCCTTTCGCTTACACTTGCGGCCGGCTAGGAATGCGCCCTATTCAACAAATAGGTTACTGGGTACAATTAAGCGCATAAATTGGGGGCGTCTTCACCTGCCGCCGTGGGACTTACCGTCCGACCGTTGGCAGGGGACGGTCACCTGTCGGCCGTTACGCGCCAACGGCGGCAATTACCGGTGCCCCGGGCCCACGTGGAATCTTGCGCACCTGCCGCAATGTGGCGAAGACGTTGCCGCCGCCCCAGGCGCACCCTCGCGTGCACCTGCCCTCTTTTGTTTTTCTTTTCGCCCCCTCCCCTCCCGCACCCAGTCCAGTATCAACCGCGAGACGGGATTTCGGCGCAATCGGCCCGCGTCACCTGTCGCCGGAAGGGTTCCTCCGTACCTGGCTTTTTGTCCCGCCGCCCGCATCTGCCGCGCGCCGGACTATCGCTCGTCAGTGCGGCGCCCGCTACTAAAAACGCAACTCCCGGCTCTCAATGTTGCGCGGTGACGATGTTATCGCGCGCGGACGGCCCCGGATAGGTCGCCTCATTAAGATCGCTCATTCCCCAGTTTTTTGGCGGTCCTTTTTTTGTGACGTAAATAAATCTTAGAGTTGGGTTGCTTGAATTCGCCTTAAGCCACACGTGGTCTAGAGCAGTTAGAGGCTTCAATGGTTCAGTTCCGTGCAAACTGAACGATAAAATTTTCTCTTTCGTTTTAAATCAATCGATGCTTTTTCACTATCTTTCACCGTCTCTCTTGAAATCAAGTAAAACGTTCTACTTATTTTGGATATCAATCGAAATGTAACTGACCGTATGAAACCACAACATTGAATTTTCGACGCGACACTACGCGTCCACAAATGTTACAATGATAATTACTAGCCTAACCAACGAGGTTTATTCGAAGTAAAGTCTGTTTTGCAATTAAATCCATACAGTGTCTAACGGCCGCTTCCGCTTGTTGCAGGTACCCGTTCAACGACTCCGAGCACGCGTCGCTGTTCGCTAAGATCTCGCGCGGCTACTTCGTGGTGCCCGAGTGCCTCTCGTCGCGGGGCAAGTGCCTCATCCGCTCGCTGCTGAGGCGGGAGGCGTGCGAGCGGCTCAGCGCTAGGGACGTGCTCCGCCACCCGTGGCTGGCGCGCGACCCCAGGAACGAGCTGCCCCCGCGCGCCGCCGCCTCCCTAGACCGCCTCGTGCCCGACGTCGACCTGGACGACTGCGTCTAACCGAACAATCGAGCTCTGTGAACCGATTAACGGCCGCGGCTGCGCCGAGACGAGACGCACCAGAGTAGGGACGTCCGTACCTCGCGAAACGGCAAGTCTGTTGCCGTTGCGTCGTGCCCGACGTCGACCTGGGCTACTGCACCTAACTATGAACGACCTTCGTGGATCGCGGGCGATTGAACGGTCGCCGCTGAGCTGAGTCGACTCGCGAGTGGCTCGAGCTGTCACCGTAGTGTAGGGACGTCCCTATCGCCGCGAATCGGCAATCGCTGTCACGCCGCGCCAAATAGGGCTAGGTGATTGTAACTTAGTGATTAAGCTCCAAAGCGGTGTCCGGCGGCGGCGGCTGGACCGCACCGCCGGCCAACTAATTTATAGCGCGGGCCTTGGCGGCCTCGGCCTTGGGCCTGCAAACGCCAGGGCCCCCGCCCTGTGCTAACGTAATGACAGAATAAGTGAGACTGATATCGCGTACTTGTGATCTATACTATGCAGCGATAAGATCCATCATTGTTGTGAACGGTCGCGGCCGAATTCGTCCGGCCGCAACAGCTGTCGATGATTCCCGCTGAGCCCCGACTTAATCGTATCAATTTCACACCAATATAGATGGATATATTGCATTGAAGTTGTTTCTATAGGATTAGGTGAATTACCTAGGTGTGTATATTTTGTATTTATATGAGAAAAAAAAAATAATTAAAAGATTAAAGTTATATCGTGTAATTGTGATCTCCACCGATGTTATTTAGCGTTTATCTGATTGCCATTACGTTTTTGCGCTGAAGCGGTCATATTTCTGTTCAGCCACGATCAGTTGCTTCCATCATATTATAGTTATTTTGATTTATATTATTATATTTTTTTTAATCTTGATTATTCGGCATATATATGTGCGTGCGAAATTATTGTTTTGTTGTATCTTATCGTAGCGCGAGGAAATTGTGCTTTTCTTTTTTATACACACACATATATATTCGCATCACCATGTACCGAATACGGTCGTTAGAATTTGGTCTGTGCCATGTATTTAATTTAAAACTAATTTATTGTTGTTGTGATTAAAGCCGCCGCTGGCACTTTTCCTTCTGTTACTAAATTGATGTCTCGTTTGGTACTTGGTGTTGAGTTTTTTTTTCTTTAATTAGTAATCAATTGTTTTGTTAAATCGTAGCCGTCTAATCGAATGACGTTCTACCATTAAATCGTTTACGCAATCGGCGAAAAATCATTTTGTTTCTTTCTTTTTTTGTTGTTATCCTTATTCCGTTCATCAGACATGTGAAAGCCGGTACTTCGTGCATTGAAAGCGTGGCATTGAAATAGGTAGTCAATCTTTCATACTGTTGAAAGAGAATTGTACAATAGTAGTGTACTGTAAATTATACTATTAACTACTTTAATTTATACAAACTGTACATAGAGCTAAGATATTTTAAGATTATCAGAAAAAAAAGAAAGAATAATAGAGGGAATAAATAATATAGAAAAAAATGATCGTACTTTAATTTACACAAGATACTCCTTCCGACCTAATGGCATCACCTGATACATACAGCGTGCGGTTACAACCGCGACAATAAATGAACACACATATAGAGGATAACTTTTTAAAATTGTATTTTTAAATATCAATATTTACCGAGTTATTGTATATGTAATTATACTTAATAGTCACTCTTGCCTATGTTTAAACAACTATTTTTTTTATGTGAAAAGTTGCCAAGCGAGACGGTTCACCTGATAAGTGAATACCGTCGCCCATGGACTACATCATCTGCTACACCTGCGTAGACAACCTTTTGTAAATTGAGCTCCGGCCACCTCACTCACCAGACAAAACGCGAAAGTATTATACTTCCACTTTACGGCGGTCATCTGAAGTCGTGGTACTTACCCAGACGAGCCTGCCCAATCGTGCAACAGCCAAGGCTGCTTCGTGGCCCTACCACCGAAAACAAATTGCATACAAATATTTATCCACATAGTAAGACATGATAGTCTAAGGCCCGGTTTCTGAAACATTGATCAACGTAGATGTTAACTAATGAGCTGTCAAATGGCTTTGCATGTCGTCTTAGTTGCCAAAAGGATGGTTAAACTCTTAGAATTGATCAATTTGATTATTAAGATGATTCTGATAATGTTAATTTGTCAGCAGACACTGCCATAATAAGCTATTTAATAAGTCATTGTATTTTCACACTGCTATGTCATTTAGAGTCAATATAATTTCAACTTAGCTTGTTTTAAATGATGAAATATAAGTAACAGTGTTTGAGAATTAACAGTGTTAATTGGCGTATTCAATGAAACCGCCAAAAAAGAAGAAGTTAATATTTGATTTCGACTTTGGCCAATAAATCTTTAGTAGACTTAAATTTTACTTATCACATTTTTTTGAAACTCATTCATGCTAATAATACTTGAGATATTTTACTTACTGTATAAAAATAATTCACTAACTGGTTGGTCGTATAATAAATAGGTTTCAACTTAGTTCTTGTGATGTCACTACCTGAATAATTAACCTTCACACTTCCTGTAATAAAATGGAATCCTACTTAAGAATTTAAATACATAAATTACTACCGTGTAATACAACCAAGATGAGAACTTTGGACTTACCAATCTATTATAAACAGTGCTAATTGTTCAGCAGACGCATTAGCAATCACTATATATTATTTCTAAAAGGTATTTTTATTGGTACGCCATAACTTCCCTAATTCTTCATCAAATTAATGCTTCAAACGTCATTTTTGTTGCACGAATGGGCAGGTCCGTCCGTCCAAATAATGCGATGTCACACTTGTGCATTCCGTTTGGTGAAAAAGGTACAAGGGACCAATTTTATTAAAGCGGCGGTTATCACTTACGTAGAGCGAACTGACAGTTCGTTTGCCACTTCTTATATAAAAAAAGATCGAAAGATTTATTAAAAAAAGTTGTTTAATTCTTATAAAGAATTTATGATACTGCCATCTTGACAGTATGTCTAAATGAAGGATAACGAAGTAGAGTGTAGACAGATGCTACCATTCCAAGAACTGTGCGATGATTTCGCACGGATCAACTAGTAATAATTTACGTTAACATTTCTAATGAATCTATTAATGTTGCGCCATATCACTTTTGTTGCTACTTTATTAGATTTCGATTACAATAATGATTGTTAACTTTTAACGGGAAAGTCCACAAGAAACTCTTCTACCTAATTTACACAGTCAAAATGACTTGTCATGTTTAGAGAACGACGTAATACTCCTCTGATAATATGAAGGTTATTTGTCCAAGACAAAAAAACACGCAAGATATACGTTTAACATAGTCACGTTTAACGTGAGTAACTAATCTATTTATTTATTTCACTAAATAGTTTTGGTGAATATTCGCGAAATCGCTCCATTACGAGTAACTTAATGATGATTTTTGAAAATCCTGTTTTAGAAAATGACAGCCATATCTTTAAAGCAAGAGTGATTAGGCTTTTTAACGGTTTTATCTAATGCGTTTAGCACCAATACTTACATGATTACTGAGGAATTTAGCCATTGAGTGCGTGGTTGATGAAATTTTCTAAAGCGAAAAGAAAAAAAAATGTGCAAAATTAATTTATATTACGGCTTTAATTTATGGATTGAATGGCCAAAGCTCACAAGGAAATGCTTACTTCCGCAATTACTAAGCAATTTTAAATTATTATTTAAAGTATACTCGTGTCGAAATCGACAAATGAAAAGAAAATTATTGTATCACATTTTATTTATAGCTAATATTACAAAAAAAAATTAAATACCATCAATAATTACACAACTTATGAAATTTAACGGCTAATTAGGATCGTAAACAACATCATCATTTATTTAATAAGTACTAATTTAAACTTCGCGTCGAGAGAGTCGCTCGATTTTGCGTTTTAAAATAAATTTTCCGTTCAACGTTAATTGCTATGTTATGTTATGTAAGATATTACTCATCGAATGACTAGGGCCGTAACTAGTTTAAACTTTTTTTAAACTCAAATACTTGATAAGGGTGTTTCATAACGAGTTTCTCAGTCCCAGCGCGGCGTTGTAGCCAGCTAGAATTAATCAGCAGCGGCTTGCGAGTGTAAATATCAAACAACATTGTCTCAAATATTGCAAAATATTACGCAAATTTACACAACTCCTGAAACGTATACAACATGTCCTCGGAAGTATTTTTTAAGAATACTCTGATAGGTTGTTATTTTTGTTTCGATTCCATTTATTATTAATACAGCAGACATATATTTTCAATTTAACTTACCAAAGACTCGCATAAATTATTTTTCTTTATTTATACAAATAAATAGACGGACACAGAGTGAAGTATATATTAGTTTTATTTCAGAATTTCACATGATCAATATTGTTTCGGGACCAGACACGCAGTGCGATTACGGTTTTTGTCATATTTCGAAATACCATTGTAATAGGTTAAGTCAAATTGATGTCGCACTTTATTAATTGTTAGACACAAATTTAGCCATCATCAAAAAAGTTGGGAAATAACGGCGGTTGTGTTACTTAAGAAAAAAAAAAACAACTAAACTTTTTTTACATAAAATTATACTATGCCACAGCTCCTTCAGCATCAGATTGTATGAACACTGGACCAGATTCTGTGTAGATAGATTTTTAGGGTCTAAAGATCTCACTACGTTAGCAATAAATGATGCTTTCGATATAAGCCTTCAACGACCCGGCCATCGTAGATATTACATTCCGTTTGACATAATGGCGACCTAGGGTAGTTGAGGAGTATCGATGGAGTCACTGCTTTTTATGGAAATAGTTGGTTCTATATACCACAGCCAGTTTATTGTAAGCGCCTAAGGGGGCTATTGTAGAGCGGGAGTTTGGGGGGAAGTTATAAGAACCCATCGAAGGCATAGCGCTCGTTTAAGGCATAGGGCTAGTGGAAAGCGCTGAGGCGCCCGAAGCCGATCGGGGTGCATGACGGGGGAGGGTTAGACTTTATTGGAACCCATCGAAGGCATGGGGTTCGTTGAAGGCTGACGGGCGGAAAAAGGGTCCGATTGGGACGCGTGATAGAAGGGTAAGGGGGGCTGGGGGCTGAAGTTATTAGACACCGATCGAACGAGCCCCTCGCGGGCCCGATTGGGAGGGGTGGTGTGGTGGAGGGGTAAGAGGGGCGTGGGGGCGTTCGGGGCTCAGTAGAGGCGCTCCGCCTGCGAGGGCCCATGCACGGCCGCGTACTCGGCCATGCGACGCTCCAACTCGGGCCTGAAATGGCGAATGAGCCCCTGCACCGGCCACGCGGCGCCGTCGCCCAGCGCGCATATCGTGTGCCCTGCGGACGGACCGGGAGAGAAATTTGTAGAGAAAGTGCGAAAAGGTTGCCGCCGCGGTGGGAGTCGGACCCACGTGCTCGGCATTCGCGGCCTCACGCTTTAGCCACTAAGCTGCGAGCTTAAGCGTAAAAGGCCGGCGTAAAGTAGACACAATAAAAACTTTCGCTTTTCGTCTGATGAGGCGGGACATCTGCAACCCTCGGGTGTAGGAGATGTCCCGCCTGCTCTTTTCGCCGCAACTTTTCACATAAAAAAGTTTCAATGTAAGCAAAGTATCAGCCTATATGTCCCATTGCTGGGCGAGGAAACTTCTGTCTGTCTGACCCTATGTATGCTTAGATCTTTAAAACTACTGAACGGATCTTGATGCGTAATGTTTTTACTAGATAGAGTGATTCAAGAGGAAGGTTTATATGTATAATGCATTACACCCGTGCGAAGCAGGGGTGGGTCGCTAGTGTGATTTAAAATTTCAAATTAATAAAATGCAATGTCTCAACAAAAATTTTAAGCGCCTAACACTAAAAAAAATATAAAGGAAACTAAAAATAGAATTACTTATTATTCAGAAATTTAAATTGTTTATAGTGCTAATCTTTGCACTTAAGATTGAACATTAAAATATGTAGAAAAAGTGCGAAAAGATTGTCGGCGCTGTGGGAATCGAACCCACGTCTTCGGCAAGAAGACCGAAGACGTGGGTTCGATTCCCACAGCGCCGACAATCTTTTCGCACTTTTTCTACATATTTTAATACTTATTATTCAGTCAAACTGAGACGTTGCATATATTTGATGTAATAGTAATAAGATTTGAAAGGTCGAAACTAATTATAAGCGACATTCAAACTCGATATTCGAAGATACATTTGCGGAAGCGAAATCATTAATTTACTTTTGTGCTGATCGAAAATAACATCGGCTAATAATATACAAACAAGTTTGTAAAAATTATTAATTCGTGTTATATGTCCTTGGTAACAAAAATAATACAAAACTAAGACCCAATTATTTCTAAAAAGCATTGGTAGTGGACATTCTCAGTTTCTATCTAAAAATATTTACGTGTCAAAAATAATTATAAAAAGTTATGAATACATAATAAAATATATAACGTAGCTTATATTTTCTTTACACTTAACTTTACGTATTATTAACATTTATAAATAAAAATATCTTGTTATGTATATATATATATATATTTTACATTTTTTGTTACACATACCTTCGATTTGCTTGGAGATTTCCCACAGCATATCGATTTCTTTAGGCGACGCGTTGCCATCGACAAATCTGTAAAAAAAGTTTTGAAATAAGTTTGCACAAATTTCACTAGAGTTCCTAGAAGAAAGTAACATTAAGAACTAGATGTGCTTGTAATTGTACTAATATAATTAATGTATGGGGATAGCATGGGTCTACCAAGCTCGCGAAAACACAACTTTTCCACGGAGTCTTTTATTTTTTTCCAAATTAGATATTCAAAATAGAAGCAATTCACTTACTTATTGATTGTCAAAAAACACTACTACCGGTTCGGAAAAGAAGCCACTGACCCGAGCAGAACCGGCGAAAGGAACTCAGAGGGGAATTTTTTTTAACAAAATTTGACAAAAAAGCAACAAACGTGTACAATATATTAAAATCCACTTAAAAGAGCTAGGAGCAAACAATTCATTTCCAGAGTGTGTTATCATTTAAATAATCACTAAAACTATAACACAGCCCCGGATCTAGGGGGGGGAGGGGGGCAAGCCGGGGCCTACGCCCCGGGCGGCAAGTTATGAAGAATTATTTCATAAATAGAAGACAACAAATCAAGGTTATGGACTGTATTAGTGATGTGGCAAGTTGTAGCTATGGTGTTCCTCAAGGAAGTATACTCGGCCTAACGCTCTTTCTGATATATGTTAACGGTATTTGTGATATGAAACTTGATGGAACAGATGTGTTTATGTATGCAGATGACACTATTTTAATTTTTCACCATGAAACATAGACGGCAGTTCAAGCACAAGCTGAAAAACAGCTTCGAAAGGTGTCAATGATGCTCCAAAATAGTCTTCTAACACTCAATATCGAAAAAACTAAATATTTATGTTTCAGTATAACGAAGGCAACAAGTCCCCATACCAACATTGAATTCGAAATGCCCATATATCCCTGCGATACTAAGCCATTTTGTACCACTAATAATGAATGTAAATATAATATTTTAGAACGAGTTAACCATATAACATACCTTGGAGTAACCGTAGATGAGAATTTAACATGGAATCAACATATTACAAATGTTGCTAATAGAGTAAGGAAATTAAAATATATTTTTAAAAACCTTCGAGATGTCGCAGATCTTAAGCTATTATTATATATATACAAGGCACTATGGCGATAGCAAAACCACGCACAGAATTCGCTAGACGTCATTATAATGTGATAGGCCCACGTATATACAACAAACTAATACGAGATTTTGAAGTCATACGTATGTTTAATACTTACGGAATGAAAAATTATATAATTAGTTTCATGATGGTACTAAATTATGATGCTAAAGAACAAATTCTAGAAACCATGAAGTAACACGAACAAACACACACACACACACACACACACACACGCGCGCGCGCGCGCACACACACACACACACGCACGCACGCACGCACGCACGCACGCACGCACGCACGCACGCACGCACGCACGCACGCACGCACGCACGCACGCACGCACGCACGCACGCACGCACGCACACACACACACACACACACACACACACACTACATTACATGTAAAAATGTGTACGGCACTGACTTCTGTAAAACAGGGTAACCCAGCACAGGAGTCAGAGTTCGAAATATCGTACCTATTTAATAAATGTGATTACTATAAGTGTTTTCTTTTTGTATTGGTTGCATGAATAAATTATTATTATTAAAAAAAGGTAATTGCAATAAACTATAAATAAAAAATTAATAAAATAAATCTCTTTCTCTTCGTGATAGAGTTCGTAACGAAGACATCCGCAGTAGAACAAAAGTAACCGTCATAGCTCGGAAGATTAACAAGTTGAAGTGGCGATGGGCCGGCCATATAGCTCGTAGAACCGATAACCGTTGGGGAAGAAAGTTTCTCGAGTGGCAACCTTGTACTGGCCATCGCAGTGTGGGACGAAGCCCACTAGATGGAGTGGGCTTCGTCCATTTGCACAGCCACCTGTGCAAATGTGCGGGAAGTCGATGGATGCAGGTGGCTCAGGATCGTGTTTCGTGGCGGTCTGTGGCCTATGTTCAGGGGCAGTGGACTCAAACCGGCTGAATTGATGATGATGAAATAATAAAAAGGTGCGTGGATTCCCTCCGCGCGAAAGAACTGAAACTTCGAGTGCAACGCATTCACTCTCGTTCTGTCTCTTTCTATTCGCCCTCCGCAGGAGCGTTGAACGTTAACGCAACGGCGCTTTCATACGCCCTCCATCGTAGCGTTGAACGTTCAACGCAACCTTGTTGGAGGTCGCATTGGAAGTGTCACTTGAATAAAAACAAACGGTGCGGGCACATACCTGTATATGATCTTGTTCATCCAGGAGACGCCCTCGCGGCAGGGCGTGCACTGGCCGCACGACTCGTGCTTGTAGAACATGATGAGGCGCGCGATCGCCTTCACTATGTCCGTGGAGCGGTCCATCACTATGATGGCCGCCGTGCCGAGGGACGTCTGCGCCGCCACCAGCGCGTCGAAGTCCATCATCACCGTCGTGCACACGCTGCGGACGATGGGTCACGTGTAAACAACGGGGATGCGCCCGCGTGTCGCACACAGACAAGAAAGCGCGCACGCGTGCACACGCAGGCGCGCACGCGTACACACACAGGCGCGCACGCGTGCACACAGGCGCGCACGTGTACACTCGCACATCCGCGCACGTGTACACTCACACAACCTCAAATTTAAAAATGTCTTTATTCAAATTGACGCTTACGCGTTGTTATAAAACGTCGAATTTCACATAAAAATTAATACTTAAGTTCGTGAGTGAGTTACTACCGGTTCGGAGAACTGTTTCCGTTGAGAAGAAACCGGCAAGAATCTTTTGGTTACACAAACTTGAGTACCTACACGGACACAAAATACACCCAAATTCTGAACAACTGTTTATTGATTATAGCACGGCGACAATGCCCAATTGTCATTGAGCGCTGTGGACACTCGGAACACAAAAGGAGTCACAAATGCGTTGCCTTCGAGGAAGTAATAAGCTGTCTTCTCGCTCTCTTCTCTCTATTACGCGCATAACACGCTTACTGCACTCTCACGCAAGAAACAACGGCGGCAGTATAAAAAACAGTCTTCGCTGTTGCACGAATGGGCACGTCCGTCCGAGTGAGTACCACGACCACACAGAAGACCGGCGTGAAGTAGAAGTGTTATGAATCTAAGTATCGTCTGGTGAGTGAGCTAGTCGGAGCCGGCTCTGTTAACTTTTGTGCATCTTCAGCCCGTCAGGCTTGAACCGCCAGCTCACCGTTTCACATAGAAAAAAGAAAGAAAGAAAGGAAGAAAGGAAGAAAGAAAGAAAGAAAGGAAGAAAGAAAGGAAGAAAGAAAGGAAGAAAGAAAGAAAGGAAGAAAGAAAGGAAGAAAGAAACACTAACTCCTTGGGTATGAGGGGCGTGGAGGAGCCGCCCGGAATGATAGCGAGCAGGTTGTCCCAGCCGCCGGTGACGCCGCCGGCGTGCCGCTCGATGAGCTCCTTGAGCGGGATGCTCATCTCCTCCTCGACGGTGCACGGCGTGTTCACGTGGCCCGATATGTTGAACAGCTTCGTGCCCGAGTTGCGCGGCCGGCCGAACGACGCGAACCACGAGCCGCCGCGGCGGCAGATCGACTGCGGGCCGAGAGATCGACACAATTATTATTATGACTAATAAATAAATAAACATATCGCGACGCATTTTGTATTATGAAGGATATACAGCGTGTCTTTGCAATCGCGACAATAAATGAACACACATATAGGGGATAACTTTTTAAAATTTTATTAAACATTTACATTCTTTAAAAATCAATATTTACAGAGTTATTAACTTTTCCAAAACAAATAATTTTAGAACACCCTTACCTATAAAACTGTAACGTAAAGTTCATTCGTAAAGGTCACAAAGCATAGGAATGGGTTGAATGAATTTAAAAGAGACAAAACATACCGTTATAGGCTTGTAATACGACGCTGTGGCGCGAGTTCTATAGGTGTTACAACTTTTTTCTTTTTTACTTAATTAGTTTGTTTGAAAAATATATTTTTTTAATTATGGATTTTGTTGAACGTTAATATTTTTTATGATTATTGGCAAGTAGCGTTAGACGTGTGTTCATTTATTGTCGCGATGGTACCGACACGCTGTATAAATAAATATATCCGACGCATTTCTACACAACGCTTCTAATCCAGAACTAAGCGACGCTTGTACTATTGGTACTGGATTACTGATAAACACATTTTTATTTTGTAAATTAATAAATATTTCAACAGATGGACGGCAACGGCTTCATATGAATCGCTACATAGTATAAAACAAAGTCCTCTCGCTGTCTGTGTCCCTATGTATGCTTAGATGTTTAGAACTACGCGACGGATCTTGATGCGGTTTTTTTTTTACTAGATAGAGTGATTCAAGAGGAGGGTTTATATGTATAATACATTGCACCCGCGCGAAGACGGGGCGGGTCGCTAGTGAAAGATAAATAAATAAATGTTTCAGGACGCATCTTCACACAACGCTCTCTAGTCCCAAACTAAGCGACGCTTGTACTGATAAATATACTTAAACATAATTTTCTTTTGTAATTTAAAGTTTATTTGGCAAAAACCAGTCTAACATAACAAGTAAAGGGAAATTTCCGAAAAATAAAAACAATATAAGTCAAGGTAGATTTTTGTACTATGAAGTTTTTGCGAAGATCTGAATCTCCTGATATCTTTTTATCGTGTTGACTCAGAACCTGAATTTTTATACACCTAATAGGGATAGTATATGGTATAAATTTCAACTTGCTAGTTGCACCCATTCCTGAGAAAACCGGTGGTGACACACGGACAGACGGATAAGAGAGTTATCTTATAATGGTTCCTTTTTTACCTTCCTTTTACCTTAAGGTACGGAACCCTAATTAGCTTGTTCCATATTTAATAATAGCTTTTGTCTTTATGATAATTAACACTTCTATAGACATTAATTGATCTGATTCTTTCATCGAGTACTTGGATGGAAGAATGAAATTAATGATTAATAATTATTACATCATATGAATATGAGATGGAAAGCTTACACACAGTTATAATTACAATAATTACTAATGACTAGTCAGTAGTTGAGCAATATCAATATTTCTCAACTATGCAACCATTTTATTCAAATAATAAGACTATTTATTTTTTTTACCGCATATTTAGCCCGTTAAAGCTTTACTTCGTATTATTCATTTGATACATGATATTCCAAGCACTTACAAGTATCTAGTACCCGGAGGACCGAGCTTTGCTCGGTTTTTTTTTTTTTTTTGTAAATCGTGTATTTTGGAAATTACATTTAGATACAATTTACTGAGTTATGAAATATGCATAATATTATTGGATCTTACCGACCTAATAATAAGAAAATATGAAGTGGTGTTTTTTACAAAAGAAACAACTTTAAAAAAAAAGGGAAAAAAATAACAAAATAACAAATCGACAAAAAATAAAAGATAAAGAAAGCAATGATCTGGAATCGAAAAAAAGTAAAAAAAAGTGTGTATATGATCGTGATACGAACCACGGCCTTCTGTTTAGTGGCTGTTTGTTAGCGGCCGCCCGATTACCGACCGAGCTATTATAAAATTTTTTTTTTCGGTGAAATTTACCGTCGTATTCGAATAATATTTTTTCATTCCCTGAAAACTGGGATAAAACGACATTTTCTAAAAATGAAACCTAGTCAGATCGATTTTTCGCCCCCGAATCTACGCACATACTAAATTTCATGAAAATCGTTGGAGCCGTTTCCGTGATTCCAATTATATACATATATATATATATATATATATACAAGAATTGCTCGTTTAAAGAATTACTGTAAAAAACTATGTAGCGCTAGCAACACAAGTGTTACCCACATCCTATAGCTTCAAATTAACTCTTTCATAGACACAGACAATACCAGTAGCCTCAATACCAGTATGCTCTAACTTACACAGGAGAACGGCAACCATTGTTCAACAGGTGTCAATAGGGGCGAATCTCATGGGGCACCGCGGGCCCGTGTCTACGGGTGTCCGAAAACGGGGCGAAACTCACGGGGCACAGCGCGGCCGCGTTCAACAGGTGCCCCATGCGGGGGCGAAACTCACGGGGCACAGCGAGGCCGCGTTCAACAGGTGCCCCATGCGGGGGCGAAACTCACGGGCGCTACGGCGATCGTCTCCACGTTGTTCACGGTGGTGGGGCAGCCGAAGAGGCCCACGTCGGCGGGGAAGGGCGGCTTCAGGCGCGGCTTGCCCTGCTTCCCCTCTATGGACTCGATGAGGGCCGTCTCCTCGCCGCAGATGTATGCGCCGGCGCCGCGGTGCACGAACACGTCGAAGTCGTAGCCCGAGCCGCATGCGTTGCGCCCAATCAGTCCCGCTTGGTACGCCTGCGTTAAAGGGCCTCCATTATACTATTTGTCGGAGTTTGTTCAACGCTACATTCCATTATATAAATTGTAATCACCCATCCTATATAAAAGACTAGTAATGGAATTGCAATTACATTGGGTAATTCACGGTGTTGTGGATACGAAATTGATAAAAAATAATTTTGGAAAATTTCTACACACCCAGCCACTGTACTGAGAAATGCAAAGCACATGTTATTAACGGTAAAAGCAATTTCAATTTTATGATTTAAAAAACATTCAATTGTAAGAATTAATTATTCAATGCATAGAAAAGGAGGAATATTTGAATATTTTATAAAAAAAAAACATTGCCCTCACTTTAGGATAACATTATCCTGTGTTTTAAGGATGTTTTACAAACATAAATTGCACAAGGACCCAGATGCGAAACAACTCTCTGTGTCGCAAAAATAGTTGGGACAACTATAGTGTGGGAATCGAACCCACGAACCCCGACGCCAAAGCCAATACCTTGGCAATTGCGGCACGGAGTCATCCTATCATATAAATTACTCTTCCTGTATTCATCAGTAACATCTACTTGCAGATATCTTTATAGAGATTTATTATTAAGATATATATCTTTGTTTCTACAATAATTAAGTCAATTTATTTAGACTTTAGAAATCAGCTGTGGTTTTGCAACACAATGCCAAAAGTTATAAATAATTATTTATAAGGAGCTATTGCAACTATTAAACTGTATAGTGCAGTAAAGTACATGTACAAATGTATTTCACTTTGTCATTAATGTTTGTGTATGCGAGTTGTCTTATTGACATGTTAAATAAGTTTCTGTTATTCTTTCACTTGTTGCCAGAAAGTTTACTGACCTCTGCAATGGCGACCTGCAGGTTGCTGGCCTCATTGTAAAACTCTCCTCTGATGTAAATATATGCAGCCTGTGCTCCCATTGCACGGCCAGCTATCAGGCACCCTTCAATCAACTTATGTGGGTCGTGGCGCATTATTTCACGGTCCTTGCAAGTGCCCGGCTCTCCCTCATCTGCATTTACTACCAAATATTTGGGGCGTCCATCTGATGGTTTGTTCATGAATGACCATTTCATGCCAGTAGGGAAACCGGCACCACCACGACCACGAAGACCAGATGTTTTCATTTCATCTTAAAATTAAAAGAATAGAATTAAATTTTTTCACAGTGATTACGCAACTTATCTATTTCTACATATTAGGTATATTGTTGGGTCATAAATTCTGTTACATAATGAATTTTATTAATTTGGAATGCTAGCACAAAAATATTTATTCAATTCGAATTTCGAATGTTTTATGAAAATAAAAATGAGCACTATTTCGAATTTCATTTGTTTTCGAAAATTAAGTGGATGCTTAAAATAGATCAAGTTACTGTTATTGAGTAAAATCAGCTTTCCGAATTACTTAAAAATTTGAATATAACCAATAGATTTGTTTATCACTCCATCAAATCTCGAGAATCCAAAGAAATCCCATGCAGAAACTGTTGGCTCTTCAGATGGGTTAAGCAGAACGATTGTGAAAAGGGAGTCGACTGAAGTCTTCAAGCTTATCGAAGGAAAACAGGAAATTAATGAACCCAACACTGAAGATGAACACGGGATACGTTGATGACAGTGGCACGCGAAAAAAAAAACATCGTAAATTTTTATTGGAATGTAAAAAAATTATCCTGGAGTAGTGCTACAATAAACAAAATGATGATGTGTAAGCCCACAACAGTGAAGAAGCGAGCAGCCGCACTCCGTGACGTGAGAAAGGCGATAAAACGAATGCAGGTGTGTATGAAAATACAGTCCTCTCAAACTTTGTAGAACCTCTTTCTTCAAATTTATACTCAATAACTGACATGGTGCTTTTCAAGCTTCTGCACCAGCTCATTGAGCGAAAAGTACAAAAAGCTAGCTGGCGGTGTGTGAATTTGACTTCATCTGACATGAAGACTAGCCCTCCTCCAGTCCAGATTTAATTTATTTTTATTTTAATTTTATAATTATAATACATGGCAACACTTGGAGGAAAAGGCTTGCTCGAAGCCTCATCTTCATTTTAAGTATTCAACATTATAATAATGTATATCCATTTTTTGGCCATCTATTTAATGAGTAATGTTGAAATATGACTTATGGTACTGTAAATAATTATCTATTAAGCTTATAATCTTTGGGCATAGGACATTACAAGCCGTGAAAGAAGAACACAGAAATCCAAGAAAAGAAAAGAATTATACAATGATCATAAAAGGTTAAACTCTTTATTCTCTTAATTGTAATATATTATTAATAATATATTCTCATTGTATAAAAAATTAAATATTTTAATAACAAGTACTTAAATTTCATAACAATAAGCAATAATTACACTTGATACATAATGTAAGGTGATTATAATGTGAAAATCTGAACACGGAAATGTAAAAAGTCAATTTTGAGGGAATCAAAAAGAACTATACGTACTGACAATCCAATCGGTCCCCTTCAGCAAAATTTCTTTAGTTTTGTACCAATCACCACGCTTCAAGGCGCCTTTTAGTCGCCAGTCATGACGTCCGTAAAGATTGGTAAAAATACGATCGCTGTCCGCCAAGGGCCCGAACTGTGTCTTCGTTTGTGCAAAACGAACTGATCCATTGTTGATGTTCACTAGTGAACCAACGACACCTACGAATATCACAATTATGTAAGCAAGTCGACAACGTTATACAAATTAGGCATAAATAAAGGAAAATTATTTTTTATACCAATCACTCAAGTAGTAAATCACTCGAAAGTGATAAACACTAATTAAATTGAATTGAACATAGCTCACCCAAATGCGTTTTAGACCCTTGAATTACTCTCGTCAGCGCGCCAGCCATTTTCGCAAAATGTCAATTTGTCAAAGTCAAGTTGTCAAGTCGTTATATGTCATCAGCTGTTAACATTCACATAAACATCGATGGTAAACGGACAATGGACAAGCAACATCGCAATTTGTATCTAATCACACTACACTACCTATCCATGTCTCACCAATCCATACCCGATTCTATTGATTATTATTTTGATATTTAAAGTTTGGTTTGTGGTAATTCTTAAGTATGCAGGAAAGTTTCACATTTTCAGATCTGAATATGAACCTAACATGAAGTAAGTATTTTCAATATACTTACAAAAACTAGTTTAAAGTGATATATACACTTTAAACTAATTTCACTTTAAAATAATTATTCGTAAAGACTTAAAATTTCATTATATAAATCCTTCAGCTCATGCATCCGAGACAAACAAAGACGACGCATTTACGACTCCCCGGGTCACCACGTCAATGCCTCCGTTAGTACTCCGAGGGCAGAGCATCTATTGACCGATCCACCATAACTTATCTCTGGTGTACGATAAATCACGCGCTAAGCCTTGTCCCCTAGGTGGATACTCTTGTCCACAAAACTAGATCTACTGGCGCGATATTACGTACCGTCTTGACATCTGCCGACCCGAACTAAGCTCCCATTATATGTTTTTTTTATGCGAAAAGTTGTCAAACGAGCAGACGGTTCACCTGATGTTAAGTGAATACCGCCGCCTATGGACATCTGCTACAACCGCGGGTTACGATGCGTTGACAACCTTTTGGAAATTGGGCTCTGGCTACCTCACTTACCAGATAAAACGCGAAAGTATTTGTCATACTTCCAATTTACGCTGGTCTTCTGTGAGGTCGTGGTACTTACCCGGACGGGCCTGCCCATTCGTGCAACAGCCGAGGCTGCTGCGTGGCCCTACTACCGTTAAATTGTAATTAATATTCAATCTTGGCTAACTTACGCGGTGCCAGCATGGTACGCCTTTTCCAATCAACAACAGAATCTGTCTCTGCGAACTATCGTGGAGACCAGGACGCTATTTCATGAATGATGCTAATGTAAAGGATCTGTAAATCGAACCCCTTGAAACATTTGTGGTCCGTCTTACCTGTCGAATGTTCGACCGTGCGGACAACAAACCACACCCTCACCTACAAGGCTTCCTCCAATTCCATGCACGTCCTCCTGAATGGCGCTCGCTCCCACAAGATATTGCTAATGCTTGTCCTTGCTATGCCTAGGGGGAACAACGAACTGGGCAGTGGGACTGATGACCAATACATAATTAATACAGTATAACTATCGTTACGGGGATTTATTTATTTTCATAGTTAATACAAGTTCGGTTAACATCAACGTGAACATTGGTACTAAATACGGGTCTACGTCTATCGACGCTGAGTGTTAACATTGAACGAATTGAGCGTATTTGTAATAAAAAATTAATAAAAGCACTAAAAACGCTTCCGTGTATCATATAGGATTACATAATAACTTCGCTTTATCGCCATACTGTTCGAGCCGATATAAGGCACATTTTTCGGGAGGACGGTGTAGGTTCTATTCTCCGATGCCGTACACGCCCAGCCCATCTCGAGGAAGTATGTATGACTTACGCATACGTTGGGTATCATAATAAAATAAAACTAGTTTAATAAATTTCACGTAAGAATTAAGAAAATTGTGTGCCCTTTGTTATTTATTGCGTATCTATTCCTTCTAATCAGGGATGTCGAAAATGAATAAATATATCGATATATATAAAAATATCAATATCGGCCTGGATATATTGTAGAGAAAATATCGATATTTTCTTATTAAGTCGTAGAATCTTATAAAGTACAAACCCCAGTCCCTGTTGCCGTCCAAGAAAAAAGGTATGTCAAGGATTCAATATTTGACACCTACGGATTCTATGCCTGAGCCTAATTCAAACTTGTAAAAATATCGGTTTTGATATATGTATAATTATTTGTATCAATATAATATCAGATCAAAATATTTCGGTTGAAAATATCGAAATTTTTTCAACATCCTTAGTTGCACTGCTTTTCAATCAGCTGCCTTGTTACCAGGTCATAAAATCTTTAACTTTATTAAAAAAAAAAATCATCTTGACACTTATTTGTTTTGCTAGCACTATCAGTTTATGTTTATCACCAATATTTCAGTGTATGTCTTATCTATGCTTTGAAGTTTTATGTGCTACAATATGACTAAAATGATATCAAAATCAATGAATTAATTATCCGATTGCAAGGATTGTAGATGTATTTTAACCTTTGAGACTTGTCAACTAAAAATGGCAGCAGTGATTCCATCCGTATCAAGGCTTTCAAATAGAATTATAAGGATACTTGGATGTAATCCTGGACCTATGACATTACAAGGAACCAATACCTACTTGATTGGAACTGGTAAAAGGTGTGTAAGTATATCGAATAACTTTATTCACGCAGTCTATCTAGAATATAAGTAAAATCAAAAACATTGATTTGGTTAAACGAATATACATTCATTATTTGACATTTTTAGCCGCATTTTATTAGACACGGGTGATAAAAATGTCGCAGAGTATCAAAAAAACTTAAAAGAAATAGTTCAATCGGAGCAGGTAGACATCGAGCACATAGTTGTAACACATTGGCACCATGATCACATTGGAGGCGTCGAAGATATATGCGGGTCTATTGCAAGTAATAAATATTTAGTTATTATTAGTCTATAATAATGTGCTAGAACAGTAAAATAAAATGATAATTTTATATACATGTATATTATATTGATATTTTTTGTATATAGAGCAACCTAAAATATGGAAACACAAAAGAAGTGAGGATGATTCAAAAGATGAACCATTGTCAATACCATTGAATTGGTTGTCTGATGGTCAAGAGATAAGTGTGGAAGGTGCCACAGTGAAAATACATCATACACCTGGACATACCACAGATCATGTTATATTGACATTGTTGGAAGACAATGTATTATTCAGTGGAGATTGCATATTGGGTGAAGGCACAGCTGTATTTGAAGATCTCTATACATACATGATAAGCTTAAAAAAAATATTGGCCTTAAAACCCAGTGTTATATATCCAGGCCATGGAAATGTTGTGGAGGTAAATTAGCTTCTAATTGTTTACTGTAATAATGCATGTGCTCTGTGATAAATATTTACTCTATATTCATTTGTAAAAGCAGCATATATACCAAAGAAAAATTGTTGTCTTCTGGATTTTAAGGTTAATAAAAAGGATTTGGATCAGATAGTAGCAAATGAGATACATAAAATGTCTTTGCTGTAAATTATGGAAAATTTATTGATTTTTTATTTATAATATATTGTTAAATAAGCAAATAATAATTTCATATACTTAGATACTTATTTCACTAATAGTTTTATCTAGCCCTGATTATAATTTATGTGAATAAAAAAGAGTTGTGACATCATAAAATGTCTTTTTTTCAGGATCCAATTCAAAAAATTGAATACTACATAGCACATAGAAACCAGAGAGAGAATCAAATACTAGAAACTTTGAAACAAAATGCTGATAAGCAGCTTACAGAAATGGACTTGGTAAAGATTATATACACTGAAACACCCAAACACTTGTGGCCAGCTGCTGCATATAATGTTAACCATCACCTCATAAAACTTACAAAGGAAAAAAAATTGAAACAAGTGGATGTAGACGGGGAAAGGAAATGGCAGTACATGCATTTTTCAAGTTTATAAAAAAGCAAATTGTTGGTTCAAAACTAAACTAATTGTATATTGGTTGTGTTATCTAATTAAATAAGTTGTTTCTGCCAGTTACTTTTAATGTTTGTCTCTTCCCAATGAGACATACATTTTTTTTACATCTAGGTGAGATTTGGTCTAGTTCTAATCAGTATTAATTGTTGATGTAAAATACATGAAACTAAACACATGTAAGAATTGGTTTATATTCAGTTATGAATTTTATAATGAATATTGAATAGCTGCACCAAAGTATGAATGTTATAAAGTGCCAAAAAACCATTTTCACAAAATATTCATTTTTTATAAAAGTTTGTTACTTCAGAAACACAAAAGTAAATATATTTACTAAATATTTTGCAATGAAACTCTTTAAGTTCAAAATGGTGATAGATGGTGGTGAACAAGTCATGTATGTACACATATGCAACAAATGTGAGCAACAAGAAGATATATGATTTTTCTGAATTCAGCATATGTGCTCAACAAGACTCGAACCTTCGAGAGATTGGCCACCATTACTTAAGATGGTGAATATTTATTTTTAAAATGGACCAGTTCTGCAATTGTTTAATATACAGCGTGTCGTTACCATCGCTACAATATATGAAAACACGTCTAACGCTACTTGCCAATAATCATAAAAAAATATTAACGTTAAACAAAATCCATAATTAAAAAAAATATTTTTCAAACAAACTAATTAAGTAAAAAAGAAACAAAATTTGTAACATCCTATACAACTCGCGCCACAGCGTCGCATTACAAGCCTCTCCTTCTAACAGTATCTTTTGTCTCTTTTAAATTCATTCAACCCATTCATATGCTTTGTTACCTTTACAAATGAACTTAACGTTACAGTTTTATACATAAGGGTGTTCTAAAATTCTTTGTTTTGGAAAATTTAATAACTCTGTAAATATTGATGTTAAAAGAAAGTAAATGTTTAATACAATTTTAAAAAGTTATCCCATATTTTCTTATTTTTTTTAAAACATTGCCCTTACTTTAGGATAACATTAGTGTTGTAGGGACGTTTTACAAACATAAATTTCACGCGGACAAACACCCAGATGCGAAAAACTACCTGTGGGTCACACAAATAGTTGTCCCGTGTGGGAATCGAACCCACGACCCCCGACGCCGTAGCCAATACCTTGGCAACTGTGCCACGGAGTCATCACCCTATATGTGTGTCCATTTATTGTCGCGATTGTAGACTCGCTGTATATTAATTCGATTCAGACATGTAGTCAAAAATGATACGATGTGACATAATTTATGATTTAATGTCATTACTTAAAGTAATGGATTGTAATATTAATTGCGGGGACGCTTCTCGGGCGGCGCATCGTCGTCTTGGAAACCTTGGTGCTTAATAAAATCCAACAGGTACTCCTTGGTTACTGGATTGAATATGCTTTCGACTACGGCTGCAAAAGGAAAATTTTATTTTATATTGATTAGTCAGTTTTGTTAATAAAATGTATGTGTGCAGACACACAGTCAGTTTATCAACCCGACAAGAACAATTAAAAAACTCAATTTGCGGAAAACCAATAAGCCATAGTATTGATAGTTGACCTCGAAAACTATTCAGGATATCGATAATATCGTCTAAGTCAATACTGTCGATAGTATCGATGGCTCACCAAGTGCCAATACTACTACTTATACCTGAACTATTGATAGATAATCGATTGTCTATCGATATGCAACACTACTATGCTCATCGCACAATATTTTTCTAGCAGTGGGAATCGAACCCACACCCTCTGACGCAAAAGACAGGTCCGCTATCCATTGAGCCAGTCGGCTCGTCAAATTTCCTAAGTTTTCTAATTTGTTTGGACGTCTAACGCCCTGGTTAAACTTTATCAATTCATCATTCTGATCAATTCAGAGAGTTTAACTATCCTTTTGGAAACTCAACATTTGAAAAGTCATTTAACAGCTGATTAGTTAACTTGTACGATGATCAGTGTTTCAGAATACCGGGCGTTAGTTGCCAGTAGAACTAACCTTCTGCCGTGTCCCTGCTGTTAGGGTAGGACTTGTCCGTCCTCTCCCTCATAAACACCCACTGGTTGTTTTCGTACTTGCACTCGATGATTTTGTTGTGCAGGTGTTTAATCTCTTTAGTGAGTTTTATCTTCCCGAACGAATTCTTCTCGCGTCCCACGAACAACAGGCCTATTTTCTTCGTCAGAATGCTGTGAGGATGCACATAATTATTAGTTGGCTACAAACAGCCGCCCTCAGAGACGACAATTAGTGCGTAACTAGCATTAAACTCGTTAACTTTAGAAGTGGTCATATCACCAGTAAAACTCTCAATCTGAACTACGTAAATAATCTTATTTAATTACACTAAAGTGCTTATTTTTTATTATCTCTTTGATGGTGACCGTAAGTACATGAATTGGGAAATATTTTATTTAAGCGAGAACCCTAATTATGAAAATACTCAAGCGAATAAACAAATATAAATTATTGAAATGTCGTATGAAAGATTGCGCGAAGGCCGCGGATCTTTTTTTTTTTTAGTTTTAGAGACTTTGTCGCAGGCGTTTTTTTTTATGTAATGTGCTAAACATTTACTTCTTTTTATACGTGTATTGGAAGCTCTAGTAGTGTTCGGAACATAATCGTTTAATAAGTTAGCTATAATTTTAAGTGATGATTTGCCATGTGCTGTGAGGAAATATTCTGAGAATATGTCAAGTCTGCCCAAATCATGGCAGACTACTCCTTTGCCCAGCAGTGGGACATATAATGTAAGGGCTGTTTCTTTAACTACGCTCAGTTATCGCGTGGACAATTAATACCCGCTAAATTTTTGCGCGCTTCGTACGTACCCAACTCCTGTCTCGGTGACGATTTGCAGCCTGAAATCGACGCTGTTCATGTCGCTTGGCTTCCATTTCAACACCTCCTTGCAAGCGCCCGACACGTAAGGCTGCAGTTGGAGAACACCCACGGCTACTTTAATTCACCCCGACTGATGTTCGCGCTTTCAGTCCGTAGACCATGAGTCTCATCAAACGAATGACTAGATATGGCGCTCCATATATATGTATACACGCATGGGAACGTCGTTTTCGATTTATTTTTAATGTGAGAGGGCTGCAAGCGAGCCGGCGGTTAACAGCCGCCCATTTGGACATTTCCAACACCCGTAGGGTTGCAGATGCTTTGCCACGGATCTTGACTACCTCACTCACCAGGCCAAAAGAAGAAGTATAAACACTTTTGTTGCTGGTCTTCTGTGAAGTCACAGTGTTACTTACCCGGAGGGACCTGCCTATTCGTGCCACAGCGGAGACTGTTGCGTAGCCCCACCACCGATAGTTTTCTGACGCATTCTATGCACTTTGCTTATCGGGCACGTCTTATATGCCTCTAAGACGTTTCGGCAAGAGCGTATCGGAAAATGACACCTATTGTCATAATATACAACTGCTTAGAACAACCGCCAACTTTGCAACCGAACGAGTTTGCCCATACGGGCAACCGCTGATGCTACTACTAGGCCCCTAGTGATATGATGATTCAATCTTTGTATTAATAAGGCAGTTCGTACTACGGAAATATGCTAATATGGTGCCACCATGACATCTCGTTAATAGTAAAAGATTATTATTTAATATTAATAACATATTACTATACAAGTATTGGTATTTATTAACTTTTATTATAACTGTATTATGCTGCTGGTATTTATGTGCTAACGGCTCAATCTTCAATGAAATTTGTGTTGTTAATGTTTTAATTTTAGTGTCGAATATTTCAGCCAGATCGCGCAATTCAGGAAATAAACGAGTATTGTGTGAAAATGGCGTCCTTCTGAGGCGACCGAGGCGAAGAATCTGATGGATACTGCCTCAGTTCCTGTTGGAGGCAGATGAATCCAGAGGATAATGCCTCAATCACTGTTGGAGGAAGATGAATCCGGAAGATAGTGCCTCCTCCACTGTTGGAGGAAGATGAATCCGGGGGAAAATGACTCCACCACTGTTGGAGGAAGATGAATCCAGAGGATAATGACTTTGCCACTGTTGGAGGAAGATGAATCCAGAGGATAATGACTTTGCCACTGTTGGAGGAAGATGAATCCAGAGGATAATGACTTTGCCACTGTTGGAGGAAGATGAATCCAGAGGATAATGACTTTGCCACTGTTGGAGGAAGATGAATCCAGAGGATAATGACTTTGCCACTGTTGGAGGAAGATGAATCCGGAGGATATACTACCTCCAACACTGTTGAAGGAAGGTGTAGGCTACATTCATACGAAGCTCACCTCCTTAGCCGGCTGGAATATCAGCCCGTCGGGTTCGTGTGTCAGCATCTTAGAGAATTTCTCCTCTAACAGATAATGGGTCATTTTTATGTCCCAGAACTCCTTCAGATGCACGCTAAATGGTCCCTTGCCGATCATGCCTTTGGCAAGAGCCCTATTCCTGTAAATAATTGTTTCTGTTAAAAAAATTCTAACGCCAAATGAGTTAATAACTATTGTCTACAGTTAAAACTAAAATTGCAATGTCAATTATTTCAGTTTATTGAACTCTGTGCTTTTGAAATTCGTAGCATTCATAAGATAGTTAATTACAGTTATACATTGTCTCTGTTCAAAAAAATGTTGCATTTGTGAAATTTCATTACCTCGGATTGATAATCTCTTTCTCTATGCACATAAGTCTAACGGGAAAGAAGGACTCCCTGCCGACATTCATTCCTTCGAATCTGATTATGTCGTAGCATAAGTATCTCGTCTTAACCTGCCCGCCTTCTTTGTCCTCCACCATTTCCTGGCGATGAAAATATTAAAACATCTCCTACAGGGCGTCAAGTAACATAATTGAAGCGATTATCATCATCATTTTGGCCTGTTCCACTACTGAACATTGACCACCCCCACAGATTGCCATTAAGCACGAAGCACACGATTGCACAGGACGACACTCCATCTAGAGAGGGGTCGTCCCACATACTGGCGATAACAAGACTTTTTTTATCACCAAATTGAAGTTGTAGGATGACAAATCATCCGACATTTTTGTGATGTATGGTCGCACTCACCAGTTTGGGCTTGGTTAGACGTTAAATCGATTGTTATTACAAAGGTTAAATTAAGTGTCTTAGATGAACAAAACAATGCGTTAGTGCACCATTTAACAGTTGTACCTTGTCTCTGAATCGAATAAGTGATTCAGGATCAATTGTGAATATTTCGTTATCAATACAAACTCAACAAATTATTTTTAGGACACGTCAACAAGGCAATAAATAGCGAAGCGCGTTCCACTTTTACGCAGGCAAAGCTACAATCTTTTGACCAGACCTCTATATAAATAAAAATAACCCCATTCAAAATATTTAAAATTCAATAAATAATCAAATTGTAAAATTAATTGATTAATTAATTATTTCGTATAGAATCCATTTCATGTAAAGTCTTAGTGACAAAAATTAACAACAAATTACTCTTACGCCCGGTTTCTGAAACACTGATCATCGTAGATGTCAACTAATCAGCTGTCAAATGGATTTTAGAAACCGGGCGTAAAAGTATCTTCCCATTACCTAAGTCTACTTACGTAATACTTTAACGCCGCGCACACAGCTTTAAGTCCCGCACGTAATTTTTATAAAAATCGTTATTTTATAAAAAATTTAATGACTTTATATAACAGAGGTAGTTATCACAATATTTATTTTTAGATAAGGGCCATAAAACTTAGAAAAATCAATTGAAATCTATCCAGTGCTTTTTAATGATGGTCGTACAACAGTAGATCTCATATTTTTATTTATATAGCTTTTTGCTTTAGCTTAGCACTAGCTTTTGCCCGCGGCTTCGCTCGCGTTGGAGCCCTTAAATACATATCTATCCCCTTTAAGAACCTTTATAACCCTTTTTCTAATTAAAAAAAATAGCCTATGTCCTCTCTCAGGCTCTAAACTATCTATGTACCAAATTTCATTTAAATCGGTTCAGTAGTTTTGGCGTGAAATCGAGACAGACAGACAGAGTTACTTTCGCATTTATAATATTAGTATGGATTGAGTGGCGATTTTTAATAAAAAAGTAATTATAAAGCCTGCTATACAATTTACCCCATCCAGGAGAGTATTCTTAAGATGATGCATTGTCTTGTTGTGAAGAAACTTCAGACCGTTCACTTTGAATATACAGTTGTCTCTGTCCACCATGAACACCCTGTCCTCTCCATCGATCAACATCATGTATCTGGAGGGTAAGGAAAGAGAACGCAAGCTCAAATGTTATTCATCGCACCGAAGAAGACAGAGACGGATATAGCCGTCTCCATATTTCCTGAAGACTTATTTGGATTTCGAAATCTAATAGACATCTCAGCCACTTGAACGATTGTTATAAAAGTTAGAAAAAAATATGTAGTCACGTATAGGAGAATAATAAATGATAAATTTGGAAAATCGAAACCACATCTTCGGGATTCGCGCCCTGACGCTCTAGCCACTGAGTTAAACGGCTGATTGCCTCAGCGACTACATATATTGTTTGTATATACATTGTTTTTTAGCATTTGAAGCAATGCTTGGTGCATCCATTGTTATATCCTTTCCAGCAACAAACAATTTCGAATAGCGTTTTACAAGGACAATTCGAACGGAGAGATGTGGCACAATCCATGACCCACCTGACTCCATCCGCTTTCCAGGACACCCTGTAGGGCTTCCTCTGCAAGGATACAATGTTCATGTGGGTCATGGAAACCGGCTGCGAGCCGGGGAAGCCCTTGCCGGTCCACTTGCAGAACTCCTGCACCTTCTTCTGTATTTGTTCAACGTCCTTCTCATTCTCGTGGAAGTCCACGCCGCTTATAATCGGCACGAACTCTTTCCTCTTGAATTCCTTCCTATTGTGCCTGTCCTTCTTGCCTTTTCTCCCTTTGCTGCTGTCATTGCTGCGGGGCGATTGCGAATTTATTAATGTTATTTTCTTTCCTTTATACATACAGGTCACATGCACGGACGTTTAGTGAAATTTTGTAGGCCTAAGCGTGAAATCCATCTTCTTAGCTCAATCAAATATTCCTTTGTCAACAGCACAAAGTATACAGCGTGTCGTTACCATCGCGACAATAAATGAACACACATATATGGGATAACTTTTTAAAGTTGTATTAAACATTTGAATTCTTTAAACATCAATATTTATTAAATTTTCCAAAACAAAGAATTTTAGAACACCTTACCTATAAAAACGTAACGTAAAGTTCATTTGTAAAGGTCAAAAAGCAGATGAATGGGTTGAATGAATTTAAAAGAGACAAAACATACTATTAGAAGGAGAGGCTTGTAATGCGACACTGTGGCGCGAGTTGTATAGGATGTTACAAATTTTGTTTATTTTTTACTTAATAAGTTTGTTTGAAAAATATTTTTTTTTAAATTATGGATTTTGTTTAACGTTAACATTTTTTTATGATTATTGGCAAGTAGCGTTAGACGTGTGTTCATTTATTGTCGCGATGGTAACGACACGCTGTATAATAATAAACTTCGATTTTTTTTCCGCAAACCAGTAGTAGCATTTGATTAACTTTATTACTTCATTTGTTGCATCATCGTAAATACCTACGATACAACACAATAATAAATGTATTGGAGACACGTAAATATTGTGTCTGTGGATTATTTGATCCCGGGTTTTTTTTTGGGAAACCTTGAGGAACAGTGACAGGCTTTATGTTACGAGATTAATTGCTATATATTCTGCCCCCTTTCTCTAGTTCTCTACCGATATAAGGCAACTAAATGAAGTGCAGTGCTAAAATCTTGTATAAAACTGAAAAAACAGTATTCTAAAGACAGTGATCCACACAATCAAATCAAAGTCAAACCGTATCTTATGATTTTTTTTGTGGCAAAATGGCAAACAAGCTGGCGGTTCACCTGATGTCAGGTGATAAGCGCCGCCCATGGACATTAGCAACACCCGTAGGGTTGCAGATGCGTTGCCACCTTTTAATAAAGTGGGCTCCGGTTACCTCACTCCAGATGAAACGCAGAAGTATAACAGTTCCACCTCACGCCGGTCTTCTGTGAGGTCGTGGTACTAACTCGGAGGGACCTGCCCATTCGTGTAACAGCGAACACTGTCGCTTGGCCCTACCACAGTTCTTGGAAAGACCAATTGTATCTTTAAAAGCCCAAGGAACTAGAGACTAGGTGAAACATATACTTATAGTTGTTGTTCACTCTAGCAGAGTCATACTGTTTCAAAAAAAGTTCAAATCAATCAAATCTTTTTCGAGAATGAAAAGCTTTAAGTATGCAGTAACTTTTCTAATCAAAGCTGATGGACGGGCAAAGAAAGAATGATACGTATGAAGACTTACGCAGTGGACGTGTTGCCGAAGTTTTGAGAAGAATGTGACGACAGCTCAGGTTGCAAATCTTGATAATCCCCCTCTTGATACTCTTCCTCTGTAACGGCGAAATCATGAGAATCAGATCATCATAATACACCTAAAACTTTCTAAGATGCCACTTAAATAAGGGATAGACAGACCAAACTAACGCCATCCATGTTCAAGCAATAACTTGAATAAGAAAGCGATTGCAAGCCAATGGCAAAAATAAACAAAACCGACTTTAGTGATGTCAAAATACATTTCCTATTTCATTTTGAAGAATTCCAGAAGAATGAAATTAACACGGCACCTCATGGGAACTTAACTGAACCCACTGGGGAAGGGCCACGCAACAGTCTTCTTTGTTGCACATATAGGCAGGTCCATCCGGGTAAGTACCACGAGCACACAGCTGACCAGCGTGATGTGGAAGTGTTATACTTCTGCGTTTCTTCTATTGAGTGAGGTAGCCAGGGCGCACTTTATTAAAAGGCGGCAATGCATGAACACTGCGGGTGTTGCTAATGTCCATGGGTGGCGGTCATCACTTAACATCAAGCGAATCGTACTAGCTCGCTTGCTACATTCACACATAAAAAAAACAGTTCTGAATGTATGACGCCAATATCTATGGACTCAGATCACACTATTGTCAAAATGGCATCAATTGATTCGCCAGCTCATTTGCCAACTTCTCAATTAAAAAAATAAAGGCAGCATTACAAACAATACTTCGAATAATGAATATATTAAAAATGTACTAAACTATAGCTATAATTTACTACATTTTTTTCAAATTGAGTTTAACTAGCCATAAACCTAAATATGTTTATCTGTAATATCTACAGGGAGGCTTTTCTAAGTGTATCCATTTCTTTTAATTAAATTCTAGACATAAATAATGTTATATAAAAAATGATAAATTATATAATAAATCACTCAGAAATAATTAATTACATTCATTTGAACTTTGAACGCGTGATTTATACGCTACTCATTTATTTTACGCAAGATCATTCATAACTAACACACAAACAAGTTCGTTTGTGTGCGTGAACAGTAAAATTTAGGTATTTATGAATGACTACCGCATTGTCTACAAGTTCTGTTTTTTAGGGAATAGAATGGGAAATTTGAATTTTTTAAAGTTCTGATCTCTGCACTTAAGATTGGTCATTAAAATATGTAGAAAAAGTACGAAAATATTGTCGACGCTGTGGGAATCGAACCCACGTCTTCGGCATTCGCGGCCTGACGCTCTAGCCCCTAAGCCTAACGGCTGATTGCCACACCGACGAAAATCTTAACGTCTTTTATCTACATTGTTTCTTAGCATTTGAAGCAATGCTTGGCGCATCCATTGTTATATCCTTTCCAGCATACAAACAATTTCGAATAACGTTTTACAACGATAATTCGAACGAGAGATGTTGCCATTGCTTTTTTGAAAGAATAGAATGGAAGGAATGGGATTTTTTTGAAAAAAAAAGTTTGTTTATATTTCAATAAACGATTATACTACCGAGTCTGAACCTCCTGTGTAAATTTTGGCACCTTTAAAAAAGTCTCCCTGTATATTAAGGTACCTTCACACCATTGAGGCCTCGGGGGTGCAGTGGGAGCAAAGTCTGATGGATCCTCCTCATACCGCCTGTACAGCTCATCTATATAATCTTGTTTGTATATTCCTGGCTCTCTGTGAAACATAAATGTGACACTGGTGTACTCTTTAGCTGATCACAGAAGCCCTTCCTAAAATACTGGGGGCCACCAAGGGCTTTGTATTAAATAACAACTTGTGTGGAGTCGTCTCATCAGATGCAGCATAGTTTACTCGATACAAAAAAAAGTATATTTTTAGGATAATGTTACTTTTTTCACCTTACCTTACTTTTGAAAAACTATGCAGTGCTGCATCCAAACTGAAATCCATTTCCTCAACCATATATGAAACTATTAAAAATCCAGTGCGGTTGAAACCGTGCGTGCAGTGCACTCCAATAATATCTTCTGGATGGTTTAGTTTGAAATTTGTTATGGTATCAATAAATTGTCTGCAACAGAATGTGTATTGTACCAATATTCTTTTCTTGCATTTAGGAAATTACCTCACAATGGTTAAATTAAACTCTTTCGACTATTCGCATAAGTATCCGTAACCTTAAATAACTGCTTAGCTTAATCGCTAATAGGGTCTGGACGCGTTATCTTGAATGCGCAGGTTCGAATCTTGGCAACAGAAATTTGAAAACTTTAAAAATTTGCAAGTTTTATTTAAACAATTTAAAAAATGATCACATATTCAAAAGCAATATAATATATTCTGGAAATAAATCAAAATATACAATATATTTTAAATAGTACAATCTAAGAATTTTACCTAGTTTGTTCTTGCGTTGGTGTTTCTCCATGACCACGGCATGACATTTTAACATATTTGCACCCATTTCTTTCAACTTCGCTTTTATCGTAGAATCTAGTAGTATTTGTGAGATCAATCCATAATCCAAGCTTAACCTAAATAAGAAAATGATGAAGGCAAAACATTAAAGGAATTAAATATGACGAAGACATCCTTAACGGTATGCAATGGAGGAAGATAGCAATGGAGAACAAATGGGAGTGGTCTGCTACATGTTAAGCTTCATTAGACACAGCGCCTATGGAAAGACTAGGTTTCTAGTTGTAAAGTCACTTGTGCATTACCAAAATCAAAGAATTTGCCCCTGAAAATGGCTGTGGATGTGTTGATGAGCAGTTCTGCACGTTGATTTCTCTGCATTCAAAGGTGAGGAACTACAGTAATAAATTAAGAAACAAAGTAGTTACAAGACAAAATTGAGAAATGGAAAGCTATAAAGAGAGTACAAAATAGAATAGATCTAAGTCTGAAGATAATGATTTACTGCCGTTGAGGTAATAAAATCTAGATTTGTATCATATTTTTAATATTCAGAAACGGATTCCAACAACTCATCCAGCTTAATCATAATACATACATGTACCTTATAGTAATATTGCTAGGGAGTTTGCATACATTATCTAATGCTTATACAATAAAAGTAAAATAAAGTTACTGCCTATATATTTCCCATTGCTGGACAATGACCTGTTCTGCACAGAAAGTATTGGACATAGCCCACCCTGTGACACCACTGCAACAGACTCACATAAGTGACCCACATCCCCACATGCACATTCTCACATCACATCCTCATATCATGTGAGCTACAATGCGGACAGAAACCCTACACTTGACCTTATTAACATAACAAAAATCAAAATGACAATGAATATAATGCTATATATACTGTAATATGAAGTAGCTGGGTATATTTTAAAACTAAATTAATCATGCGGTTATTTCGGGTGGAATGACATATTTAGATATCTAAACAAAATTAAAGTAATTGCTATATTGACATGAAATTTATACTGTGGTATCTGATTGATTGCAAATTCTCATTGAATATATAGTCAAATAGCAAAATACTTAATGACATTTAAATAGCAATTTTGAATCAAAAAGAAGAACAATTGAAATAAATACAAATAATTCATGTCCCTGGTCCCTGGATATAATCCTTTCATGTTTGCATTACAATAAACAAACAAATATAATGATAAATTTTACAAAAACTGCTAAGTATTTAGATAAATAAACAATTTTCCTTTTTATGCACGCCCCTGTAAAGTTGATACTTTGCAGATTGTTAGAACTATTGATAACATATTTTACTGTTACATCACACAGCTGCAGTGTTACTACTAGGTGGATAGCAGTAAAGGGCTTGAAAATCTACTTTTATTAAAAAAATGTTATGCTAATGACGGCTTATAAAAACTTTGAACATAATTTAAGATTGTAAAATGAAAAATTGTTATTAAATAATTTAATTTGAATAGTTCCCAAAAGGTGACGTACCTTCTGATAATTTGGATTTTAGGTACCAAACTTAATATTAAACAAAAATCAGCTGACACGTAGAAAACACGGTACGTACCTTTAACACCTTTATGTTTGAGAACAGATTTGATGGAGTAAATCGACATTCAGGAGGAACTTTTTCATCGAATTGCGACCCTAACGGTGTCTTAAATGCCAGAAAGGTGTTAGCAATTAGTTGTATGGCATGTTTGGGACAATTGAGCCAACGATTTGGAATTGGCCCAGGATCCCTATGTGACATGGTCACGGTGTAGTTTAAACTCAATCTAAACTCTAAATTACCGAAACCTTTTGTCAAGCTTGATATGCATTTATATGTTTCTTGATATTAAAATATATTATACATCTTCTACCCTTACAGTCAGAAAACACAATTACGCTTCACTGGTAATTAATACTAATAATTATTTGCTAGCTACGGCTGAACTGAAATGTTGCAAGCAACTTGCAACCACAGAATACATATAATAATTATTAATGTACTAAAAAAGGAGAAGAACTCAAAATTAATCAATTGAGGGAATTGTTAATCCGTAAATAAAATTTGACCTTTAATACTAAACTTAAACTACTAGAGCAGTGATTCTTAACCTTTTTTTTGTTGCGGCACATATTTAACGATTTCAACATTTGGCGGCACACAAATAAAAAGATACAAATTATTTACTTACTACAACACACTGCATAAATAGTTTGACAAAAATTTTAAATATACGAAATAAACTAATATATACTACAATAATAACTAAACGTTTATTAAGGTAGTAATTACAAGCTAATAATAAAAATATTTTCAATGCGAAATTTGAGCTTAATGTTTTTTGATAATTTCATTTATATTTGGTCGTAAAAATGACAATGCTACTCTCATTTCGTCTTATCTCTCGTATTTAAAAATCTTGCCAAAAAATATTTTTTTTTAATGATATAATTTAATAATATTAACATTATTATATATACTTGAAAAATTTGGCGGCACACTTTTGAAATTTGGCGGCACACAAAAGTGCCGCGGCACAGTGGTTGAGAATCACTCTAGAGTGACAGTGGCACAGTGGTTTTGCACAAGAACACAAAGTTTACAATTTTTATTATAAAATAATAAAATAAAATAAAAAACATTTTATTAAGTCTCCATTACAATATTAAAATTTTTACAAAGAAAAAATTTTCTTAGTTTATAAAACTCCTAAAAACAAATTCGATGATTATATATTGGTAAAATATTATTACTGCCATCCCCTCTTTTATGGACAATATTCATAAATATTCAGGATACTGCAGCCGATTAAACAAATAAATATACAAAATGCTTCAAAGCGTAATATCAAAAAAAATATTTCACATCATTACAAGACAATTTGTATTCTTTGTTTGCGTACAATATAACTAACATGACCTATCATATCATGGAGAGTGTGCGTTGGAGTTACATGATCTTATTCCTCCCGCCCCTTTCCATCATCGGACAACCAGGCGTTCGGCGGGGCTCCATCCTTATGCTGTCGACGTCCCACGTACAAGAACAAAGCGATTCGCTTCTTCATTTATCATCCGTACAGCTAAGGAATGGAATAGCCTGCCGGCGTCCGTCTTTCCGTCCAAATACAACGTTGGCGTCTTCAAGGCAAGAGTGAATAGGTTTCTACTGAGCTAGCGCGCTTACCATCAACGGCTGCATCGCCCTTTACCATCAGGTGGGATGGCAGTCAAGTACTAGACAGATTTAAATAAAAAAAAATAAAAAAAATGGGCACACCGATCAGTTTATATTTTATACTAGTGCACCGGTTGTAACGCGGATGAATTTATTTTCCAATATTTCCGAGGAATATGCAAACTTAGGACAATAATGATTTTACACATGCCTTGTATAGCATGTAGATCTTATGCCTTATGAGTATTTTGTTCGTAGAGTTGGTGTTGTAGTACAGTACACCGTTTCTTACATATTTATTTGGTACAAAATGACATGTCAGCCAAGAATGTAAAACCTAGATTTTTAACCTTCCTTTCCCAAGGAATCGTTTATTTTTTGATGTTAAGAAAAACATTTACTTGCTTGTACTTATTTTTTTTTTGCTATCTCGGCGTAACCTCTTTTAAAATATATTTCTGACCTTTTTCAGAGTGTATCTATGTTCTCTTGTGCAAAACCAATCTCCGAAGCGATAAGATGAATTTTGGATCAGTAATGCGGCCTGGAAGTCAGTTAAAGGGCAAAGAATAGGACAGTGTCGTCGAGGAAGAGTGTGAGTTTGACGTATTAGTTCTTTGGGATGGTACTCGTGCAAAGTGAGAAAAGCAAAAACGAGAGATATGAACCTTGTGGACCATCCGGTCTGTGTGGGAAAGTTTGTTGTAGTATAATATTTTATGCAAGAATTTTATATTAAATATACAAGAAGTCATAATAAAAAAAAAAAAAAAACAAAATACTGTTTTTTTCCATGGAATATCTGTTGGGTTTTCCTGTTACCAAACTATTATTTTGTTATACTGTGAAACCTTTTTTATTGTACTCGTTAATGAGGTAAAAACCCGATTAGCATTTTATACGTACATTCGGAAACTATGTCCAACAATATTAGAAGAAATAGGAGTTATTTGATAATTATTCTTATAGATACTCTTGAAATATAATCATCATATAATAAATAGATAATCGAGGACAAATGTGTTTGTGCAGTTTTATTTTAGATTCTTGTTGTGTTTTACATAGTAATTTATATCCCTTTACTGAAAAGTACAGCAAAATAAACATTACTGCAGAGAGATAAAAGTAATTATCGGTTGAAATTAAGTTTATCTTAAAATTTTAAATTTATACTGACTATTTTTGGCTGTTGCCTATGACAAGTAGAACAACCTTAGCACAGCCGATTTTTTGTAAAAATCCCTATGATAAAAAGAGATGCAACATCTATTTTTGTTTTTACGTTGGCTACACTTTTAGTTGGTATTTGCTAAGAGCCTGCCTGCCATTTTGTAAGATAGAAGGGAGATAAAAAATAGTTTTATGGTGTTAAAATTATACAAAAACTCCGTTGCCATTTGTATTAGGGCCAAAAACAAATGTTTAAATGGACGCATCGTCCATTATAACTCAAGTGTCACGGGATGACGAACAATTAAACAACTATGGATCCGACAGAGGTAAAGTCTAAGCCGAGTTACACCTGTTACCTACTGCCATCGAATTGGAGCGTATAATGTTACCTCTCAGTGATGCAAAAATATTTTCCAAGTGTATCATATTTTAAAAGTGTGTTGTGGAATATTTTAATTACTAATATATTAAATTGTGACGGTAAAATAACACGAGGTAAACAAATAGAACGTGTAATCCCGCCAACATTATGAGGAGCAACCTTGAGAACTGGGATCCTGTGATAGATTGTCAAATATATGCGTATATATTCGGATACTGTGAAGCTTATGATAAATCATTGTTTTAGGAACGACGCCAAGCGGCCAGCATAATGATGGAGATGGTACCCAAGTTTCGGGGTCCACGCCTCTGGGCAGTAAGAAATCGAGTGGCAGCGGAGGGTTCTTGCGATCCCTTTTGTGTTGTTGGAGAGGCGGCAGAGGCAAGGGACCTCCTGGAAGTAATGGCGCGAACAGTATCGATGGTCGGGCTTCACCTCCGTTGCTGGTCATGTCGGACCATGCACCCCGGCCATTGTTACCTCCAGTGAGACATCAGGATATGCATAAAAAGTGTATGGTCATTGATTTGGATGAAACTTTAGTTCACAGTTCTTTTAAGGTAAGACTGATATTATATATTTCTATGTGAATTATAGTGAAAAATTATTTCCAACTAGCTTTTCGTACATGACTATCCCCTTTAAGAACTCTTTATAACCCTTTTTCTCTAGGCTCTAAACTATCTATGTACCAAATTTAATTTAAATAGGTTCAGTAGTTTGGGCATTAAAGCGAGATGGACAGATAGAGTTACTTTCGCATTTATAATTAAGTAAAGACTTAAGAACATTTTATAATATTTATAATATCTTCTTAAGTCTTTACTTAATCTTACCATCATTTTTATATTGATCACTCCACCTTCCTATTTTTAACTTTTTTATAAATGTTCATATTTTTATGCATTCACTTTCACTTCAAATAAATGTACTCCAATTATAGCTAGATATTGTTACAAATAAAAGCCTGTGCCGTTTCTATTATATTTCTATTAATGATTCATTCAAAAATATTATGGTAGAGCACAGTCTTAATATCCTGTTTTAATGTGAATTTAATTAAGTTGTCACAATTTTTTTGGTTTTATATTATAAATTTAGAAATAGTTGATGCCTGCAATTTGGCCTGCTATATGTATGTAAATGTGATATTTGTAACACTTACCATTTAAACAACTCAATCTATGACAATTTTATATCCCCTAAATGAATAAACTCATTGTGATAGTTTCAAATATATTCTAAATGTGTTTTCAACATGTATTATTTTTGAAGGTGCCAAGGGAACAAGCGGTTCACTTAATGTTAACTGACTGCCTCCTGTAGAAATGGGCGATATGACAGATTACAGATGTTTTGCTAATCCTTAAAAAATGATTCTGGGTTCCCTGTTACCACATGAAACACAAAATTATAATAATCCCACTTCACACTGGTTTCCAGTAGGGCTGTTATAATTCTCTGGACAAGTCCGCCTAATATTGCTGCAACATATGCTGCATGACACTGGTTTTCTTATTACTCAAATTAAAAATAACAAATATGGTAGGTTGCATACTATACACTTGTACAAAGTTTGACAACAAACTATACAGACATTTATTTTATGTATTTGTTACTTATCTTCTTCTATGCACATAATAAAAATGTAACTGATTGTTGTCTGTACATGGAAGATATTTGAGAAAAACTATTCCCCGGTAATAGCCTTAACCAATTCAGTCGAACCAAAAACAATGATTGTTAAAATTTATGTCTGCTTATCTGTTTGTCTGTTCGTTTATGCATGCTAATCTCAGAAATGGCTTAACCAATTTGGGTGCAACTTTCACTAATATATTGTAAGCTTCACTTAAAATTTAGTGTTAGTTTTATTTAAATAATAAAAAAAGTTTTATTGACTTAAATAACCACATTGAAGATTTGTGCGATAACATGCTAAAATGCTAAATTTTAATAGCTACAGTTGAATTGGATGGAACTATAGTTAACAATATATTATGGTATATAAAATGAAGTTTATATAAATTGAAAAAAAAAATCGGCGAAGTGCGAGTCGTGCTCGAGCGCGAAGTGAGCAGTAGATACTTTTTAAGTATGATATAAAAGGTAGTACATGTGGGCAGACCTGCGGGCAAAAAACTAGTGTAGAATATAATTTTATTCATTCTTCATCTTTACCTATGCCAAATATTCCTCTGTGCACACAATATTCTTAAGATATAAGTTTCGATCATTATAATTAGGGTAGAAATGTGGTATTACTTATTTACCATAGTAGGTTATTCTCATAGGTCTCTATTTATAGTCTTGATTTTAATATTCATGGAACGAATGCGGTTCTGTGATAGCTTCGGCCACGAAAGTTTAAAAAAAAATTGGTAGGTTGTGGCACAGTTTTCATTGTTGGAAAAAGTTTCTGCTTTGGGTATACAAAACAAACATTTTGTATACGTTTGCCGATACGCAGAAAATATTTCGCATTCAGAATTTTCCTCTAAAAGAATGATACAGGATGTTTTATACTAGTGTTTTTTTTTGTGTGAATTAATAGTCTGTGGTCCACTTCACTTTTTAATCGTAACCTGACCGCCCCTAAAACCAAAATCTCTTGTGGTCTCCTTGCCAGAAAAAATGTATGCATAGCATTAATTTCACAATGAAAGTCCCGTGGAAATCGGCTTAGTCGTTTCGGATATCAACAGGCACGGAAAGACAGACAAAAAATAATAAAAATTGTTTTTTGAGTCTTAAGCACAGCTATATACCTAACGGAGATTTCATGTCCGTAAAAAGCTGTTATTTTTATTTTACACACAGATAAATAAAATAAAAAAATGGGAGATGGAAACTAAAATCGTGATCGCCGCGCAAGCCGTCACTTGGCTGCGATTGTCTTATTTATTTTTTATATAGAAAATCTTATTTCTAAATTCTCAATGAAGTTTTGGCCATGCCAATTTTTTGTTTTCTGTTGCCTAATAACTAAAAAATTTAAATCGTCTAACAAATTTAAATTGCGACACATTCGACGACATCTATTATTATTTACTTTTCTCTTTACGTACTTATCAGACTTAATTTTGTCGCTTGTAAATACGTATATTTTTTATTCTTAGCAGTGCTTATCGCCGATAGCACAAGCAAACTTCAAATGAATGTGGAAAAATTGGCCTTTGTTCCGTAAATACATGATTTTACGTCACTTTGGTAGTTCGTTTCTCTGAAACAGAACGGGAGCAAATTAGAAGCTATGTGCAGACTAATCGAATATATCCATATAATAGCGTTATAAAGCGGCATCTTAACCACATTTACTGACATAACTTGACGCGCGTATTTAATTCTTCCAGCTATAAATGACACTATGATACGAGACCTATGTTCATTATATTAGGCCCATATAGTTGCAGTTGGAAAACGTATCAGGTTGTATTGCTTGAGATTCTGATTGTATTTATAAAGCTTATATCCGTAACACCATGATGTAATGTAACACCACGCCACGGACGCTCGATTTGAATTAAACTACTCGAAGAACAGGGTTCAATCTATATACCTCTATATAGATTGAACCCCGTTCCTCGAGTAGTTTTGTGTGTTTACGATCTATATAGAAATAATAATTTAAAAAAAATATTTGTTTACATCGTAGCTTTTTGCACCGTAATCATAGTATACATATGTTTTGTTCAAAAGATTTCCGTATAGATTTATAAAGAGAATTCTGTACAGATTTATAATGAGTTCGTTTGTTGGGTGACTTTTACCCTAATTAATACCTTCAGCACAGAGGCCTCTGCTGACCAGTGTGACATATAATACACGGACAGTTACGTAGCTTTTACTTTATCTTATGAAACAGCTGTAGTAGGGTAGGGCCGAGTAACAGCTCGCTATTGCAAGGATGAGCAATCTCGTCTGGGGAAGTACCACGACCTAACAGAAGAATATCTAGGGACTCTGATTACTCTATTGTAAAAATTACCCTTTTTTAACTAGCGTGCACAGAATTACATTTATTGCGGAAGGTTTTTTTTTTAATCTTCTATGTGTCATAATGATGTGAACACTCACAAGTAATAATTACCATAGTATACACGAATGGAGTGGTTCAATCGACAACGTAACTCAAACATACAGAACGGCGTTAAGTAAAAGTGCTTTTTGCGTTCCTTTATACTCAATTGGACGATAAAGCTTGCGGCCTAATTATTTTGTATGTGTTATGTATTAGCGTTTGTAGCATCCGTTGAACAGCTATCGATTCATGCTCTCGCTGCAGTCGCCGCTATAATTATTTTTCATTGATGAAACGCGCGCGATATGCTACGAATTAGTGAATAAATATCACATATATCCCGTGCGGCGACGATAAGAAACGATATCGGTGACATTATCATCGCGCACTTGAAGGTCGCACTCGTAGGTGCATTGTTTTGATTTCTGCCTTTGATTATGATCCGTAGGTGGATTTAAAATAAAATCTACAATCAGATGTAATGTTTACTTCACGCTATTCGTCCAATAGATTATCACGGAGTGACACTAGATGGCGGTTATCGGCCAGCTCTTTCCATCCCCACGTTGCAGTTGGCTCTGTGTTTGCGATGTTGATTGTGCGCAATATTGTTAGGATGCATTACCTATGCACGTCATGTCAACCGCATGCGAATAAAAAGATAAACAATCTACTCGTGACTGCCAAAGAATGTAATAGGTTTACTGCATTCCCCTATCTCCGTATTATCATATACAATTATTATAAATACAACAGTTTTTGTGTTTTCATTTGTCATGAAAATTTTTGTAGACTCCGTTGCGTAGATGCCAAGGTATTGGTTTGAGTCTGGGGGGGTCGTGGGTTCGATTCTCAAACGGGACAGCTAATTTGTGTGATAATTGTTTCGGATCTGCGTGTTTGTCCACGTGAAATTTGTATGTTTAAAAGTCCTTTTAAAACAGAATAATGTTATCCTACAGTATGGACAATATTTTAACATTAAAAAAATGCTTATTTTCAGGATTGACTTAGTATAAGTTTTACATTAAAGTGTACCTTACGGTGCAAAACGTAAAAATTACATTTTGTATATTTAAGTAGTTCATACTATTCAGAGTTTCAAAGCCAGCTAATCTTTGGTTTAATTAAGAAACTAGTTTTTTGACGTGTATTTGAATAAAATGATTTTATTAACAGCCATGAAGCACTCGGATAATTAAATAGCAATTACATTTTGATAAAATTTTAATGTGAAACAATTAAATTACTAACGTCGTCTGTGGAAAATAATTTAACAACTGTAGTTTATTAAACAATGCACGCAAGCCATCGCAGAAAGTGCTTAGAATTTAAGCCCGATTAAAAATAGTACATTATACCCATTATAGCTCAGTGTACAGGCGCTCGCCTTTAATTTAAAATACTCTACCCAGAGTTCATGTCCCGGTGTTATACCAATGAAGTTTTTAATTTCAATTTTGAGAGTTGACCACTGAAATCACGCGTTGAACGCTGAAATAAAAACATCGTATCTGCATATTTTAGAATATTTCTATC